ACCGAATGCGACCGAAATTGCCATGTGTAACTAACACTGTCGTACACCATATCTCGACTAAGTACGCACCTATATTTTCGAATTCGTCGCCACAGGCTGTTGAATAGCTGAGAATAGTACATGATAAACTTGGGAATTGTCCAGCCACCAAACACCTCGTAGACATCTCCTTAGCACAGTTATCAAAAAGAACAGCAGCGATTGGCGTTCAAATGGTGGCTGTCAGCGACTGAATGACAAAACTGCTCCCAATCGCTACCACTTGCCACACACCCACGACCTCATAGTAACCTTATAAGGTGAAACTGATTTCTGGGAAACCTATCATGTCAAAGCGAATGACCGAATTCCTGAGGTTGTAAAAAACAAACCTTAAACAGCAATCATCACTTTTTCTCAAATCTGCGAATTTTCGCCCATCTTCATCGGTCTCGGAAACTCTGAACAAACACTTAGAAGATTCATTAATGACGTATTCAGGGATGTCAACTCCATGTACGCACATGTTATTGACGGCAAAATAACAAGTCCGGACAGAAAATCCTACCTCCAAAGTCTGGACCTTTTTACATACGATACTACTAGGAATCACACGATTCCGAACGACCGCCCATCACCCACGAGCCAAAACGTTGGGAGAACGCTTTCACCGACAACTAAACGCTTCACTATAAGTTGCAAACGTTTCACAGTAGACCGACGCTCTTCTGCTTGTCTTACTCATTTGATACACGGCAGCTCAACTCGTTTATGGTGAGACACTCTGACTTCCAAGAGAATTCGTGGATCCTTCACCTTCTTCAATGAATATGGAACTATACTCCTACAAGAGCAGACTTACGAACGCAATGCATTCAGTTAAACCTGTATCCGATCGACCATAATCAATTGTTGTTTTCGTTCTGCCTGCCTTACGATAAAGTACATAAGTTTTCGTGTGTCGTAAATCACTTCTACGATCTCTCGAATTAGCATACAAATTAACCTTTAAATTCCTTCAGCGAGAACTCAGGTACGTTATGGACGATAGGAACGGACCAAAGATGGCATCAGCATCGATCGTCTCTAAGCCACGCAATTATAAGTAAATCCTATTCACGACGATTGTTTCGGTACAATCGAACAACACGGCTCCTACACTTGTAATACCTCACTCGACAGCCAACACACACGATAATACTTCGGCGGTATCAGAAAATAAACCTAAACAACGAGTTCTGGAAGAAGAGTAAGATTTCCAGAACATTTGGACTATTATCGCACGTAAGATACTAGTTGACATTTTATATCGTCTCGATTTTCCTTTGTACCATATATAATTTTTAAGAAAGATCAATTTTAATATGCTTGTATATTTTTATTTTTATTTCAAAAGAACAAAACGAAAAAACTATATTACAAAATCCTTTTTTAAAAGTCGATTACGTGTGCATTAGTTTATTTTCTTTTTCCGCCCGCTTTGTGTCTTAAAGCGCGTACGAGTTTATTTCGACATGCACTTACATATTCTTTTTCTCTTCTCTAGGACGGCTGGAAAAGACGATAAAAAGAACGATGAGGTTTACGAGGAACCGAAATTTGATTGTACATTATTTTTGGCTATATTGTACTTCATGGTGCCTTATAGTAAGGAAAGACGACCAGACTCTGCTAAGCATAGCAAGCTATCAGAAGAGTGTTTATATTGATGCAGTACAAAGAAAAAGTGGGGGATATATGAGATCTAAAACCATTTTCACCTATCATATTGAAGATAACATAGGTATTTGGAGTTTGACATTGCTTTACCCAGTAACACCTAATATGAAGCGTACCTACCAAGTGAAATCACAAGACAGAATCGAGGAGATTAGAAGATATATTTGACAGGTTATCAGCATGTCGAAGGTCAACTGATCTAATCTGGCTAGCGATTGCAGTAGATATTGAGCACGGCGTTCCCACTCATGATCTGGTGTGGATGCATGACCGAGCGCCTTCAGCTAGGTGAGTCCATCAAAACATGTGGTCAGCATCCGATATCGAAAACCTACAGAGCTATTTATTTCGGGGATTTATTTGCCGCTACAGATCACTCTCCCCCTAGTGAGGTAGTGATGACCCTAAGACACAGCCAGCCAGAAGTTTAAACTCAACGAGTTTTGTCGTTGGTAAACACTCTTCTGATAGCTTGCTATGCTTAGCAGAGTCTGGTCGTCTTTCCTTACTATAAGGCACCATGAAGTACAATATAGCCAAAAATAATGTACAATCAAATTTCGGTTCCTCGTAAACCTCATCGTTCTTTTTATCGTCTTTTCTAGCCGTCCTAGAGAAGAGAAAAAGAATATGTAAGTGCATGTCGAAATAAACTCGTACGCGCTTTAAGACACAAAGTCGGCGAAAAAAAGGTTAATAACCTAAAAGCGATTTTTACAAAATGTTTTTTTGTTTTATTTTTAAATTTTAATATACATATTAGCCAAATAATAATATATAAATATAAGCATATAAAAATTTTTTATATTACACATAATGCCATGGAAAATCGATATGAAACAAACTGTTAACTAGTGTCTTATGTGCAATAGTCATTTAAATGTTCTGGAAATCTAACTCTTCCAGAACGCGTTGTTTAGGTTTATTTTCAGATACTGTCGAAGTATCATCCTGCGTGTTGGTTGTCGGATGAGATATTATAAGTGTCGTAGTCGTTTCGTTCGATTGTACCGAAGGAAAATCGACGTGAATAGGATTTCCATCCAAATACGCTGCTTTGAGACGATCGTTGCTGATGCTATCGTTGGTTCCGTTCTTATCGATTATAAAGTACTTCGGTTCGCGTTGAAGAACTTTGAAAGGTCCTTCGTATGTTGATTCGAAAGCTCATCGGTGCGAGTCTCGACGTACGAAGATGTATGCACTATATCGTAAGTCAGTTTGAACGAAAACATCGGTTGATTGCGATTGAGTGGAAGCAGGTTAAACTGAACGCATTGCGTTTGTAAGCCTGTTCATACAGGAAGTTAGATCCATGTTCATTGAAGAAGATGAAGGATCCACGAATTCTCCTGGAAGTCGAAATGTCGTTCCATAAACGAGTTGAGCCGCAGTGTGTCCAATGTCAGCTTTCACTGCATTGCGAATACCTAGTAAGACGAGTGGAAGAGCATCGGTCCACTGTGAAACGTTTGCGGCTGATAGTGAAGCTTTCAGTTATCGGTGAAAACGTTCTACCAACCCGTTTACTTGTGGGTGGTAGGCCGTCGTTCCTAAACGAGTGATTCCTAAAAGTGTGGTCAGACGACGAAAAAATTCGGATTCAAACTGCCGTCCGCGGTCTGTAGTGATTGTTGAAGGGCAGCCGAAGTTTGCTACCCATCGTTCGAAGAAGGTGCGGGCCACTGTTTCAGCAGTGATGTCCGTGATAGGTACTGCTTCTGGCCATCGAGTGAAACGGTCTGCGCACGTTAAGAGATAAGAGTATCCATTTGAATCCGGCAAGGGTTCTACCAAATCCAGATGAACATGGTCGAAACGAGCATCGTGAGTTTTAAATGAGCCTAAGGGACATTTATTGTGTCTGATAACCTTAGATTTCTTGTCAGCTTACACAGGAGCGTGCCCACTCCTTCACGTCTTTGTTCATGCCAGGCCAGCAAAACCGTTTTGCTATAAGCTTGATGGTTGCACGAACACCTGGATGAGAAAGTTTGTGCAATGTATTGAAGACGTTGCGTTGATAATGTTTCGGCACGATTGGGCGATCCCTACCTGTAGATGTGTCACAAAGTAAGGTTTCCTTACCTGTCACCATTAGTTTGATGCGTAGTTTAAGGGTTGTAGACGATAACTCGTGCTGAAGATCAGTGTCCTCTTTTTGAAGCTCGGCGAGTTTCAGTAGGTCGATTCTTTGGAAACTGTTCAGAGAATTTATGCGAGATTAGGCGTCTGCGACTATATTGTTTCCTCCAGAAATGTGTTGGATGTCTGAAGTAAACTGCGAGGTGTAGTCCAGTTGCCGAGACTCAGGAGGTGAGTACTTGTCTGAAGAGGAGCTTAACGAGAAAAATGCCAAACGTTGCCTGGAGTTGCTAACTCATTGTTGTAATATTCCTCCGATTGCGTCTACTGCGATGCTAACGGGCGCTTCAGTGTCCTGATGAGCAGGTATTGTTGCTTCAGCGATTAGTTCTCTAATTGTGGAGAATGCTTTTCGTGCGGTGTCGTCCAAATTAATGGATTTCGCATTTCCACGAAGTTGGTCGGCAAGAGGTTTCTTGAGTAACGCGCATTTTGGTATTAACCGTCTATAGAAACTTACAAGGCCGTTAAACGTTCGTAGTTGCTTGACGGTGGTCGGTTTTGGGTAATCCAGAATGGCCGTCACTTTGTTTCTAAGGGGTCGAATTACTTGAGTATCGATAGTGTGTCCTAGAAAGTCTGATGAGTCGGTTCCGATTTGGAATTTCTGAATGTTTACAGTAATGCCATGTTTCTGTATTCAGTCGAAAACAAGATCCAGATGCTGAAGATGCGATTCTCTGTCCGGACTTGCAATTAGGCTGTCATCAAAATACGCATGTACGAAGTTGAGATCTCGAAAAACGTCGTCTATGAACCTTTGGAATGTTTGGGCAGCGTTTCTTAGACCGAAGGGCATTCGCTAAAATTCACCGAGTCCAGAAGGAGTAATGATAGCTGTGTTCGGTATATCGTCTGTAGCCGTAGGGATTTGGTTATACGCTTTAACCAAGTCGATTTTCGAAAAGACAGTTGTACCTTTCAAGGTAGCTGTCAAATCGTGAATGTGAGGCAAGGGGTAACGATCTGGAATGGTTTTCCCATTCAACACCTTCAGTTAAGTTGTTCATGGAAATACTGAGGTCTCACAAAGGATAAACATGAAGGGACCAGCATAAGCAGTCGGAGTCTTGCCTTTACTACTTGAATGTGAAATCGGAAACACTTACATCTTGATCTATTGAAGGAATGTTGGGTCAAGGTCGTGAGGTAAGTTTGAGTCTGTAATAAATTGATCTAGTAGTTGGGTTTCCCGTAGAGTTTGAGTGCATTTGGAGGTTAGGTACGTTTCTTTACCTTCAAATTTCCTGAAAAGTTGGGTTCAGTCTTCTTCGAATCATGATTGGGTTCAGTTTACACATGCTGTTATCTTATTTATCGGAACTGTTCAGGTCTGAGCTCGAGCTACGCTTAACGATCTGAGTATTATGTTTGATATTAACTTACTGTTCTGTACTGTAGTCATTCTTGTCTTGGTTACAGTACTTTAATACTGTGCACATCAGCTGTGAGAGATCGTTCTGTAGTATCGGGGAAGTAGTAAGTGGAAAGCACCAAATTAATTTGGACGTTAAAATGAGTAAAAATATGTCACTAGTTGTAGGTACTTTCAATCGGATTTTTAACCAGTAAATTGTACCTAGTTTGAATTTATGTGTCTAGAGTGTATTGGGAGAGTGCTCCAACGTATTTCTTGGTACATAAACATGCTGCTGTATTGCTAGAACGGATTTGACAGTTGATAATGCTCGTCACTGAGTGTTGACTATAACATAACGGATCTATGTAAGGGATTTCTCACTAACATGCTTTGTAACTAACTAGACCCTGAGAACAGCTACCTAGCATTCAGGTGTACGTAAATTGGAACGTCAAAGTGCCAACTTACTAGTTACCATGATTTTTTTTACCTGGGTCTTGTGTTATAGATCTTTTTAAGTAAATTACAACAGAAAAACGGAAGGTATTACCTGCGTCAGTTTGGTACCCGGACAGTGTCATAGCCCACACACAAACCAATGATAATTGCTACTACATTGTTGTGTGGCGTATATGTATCTGGTGCCCCTGTGTACTGGTGTTTATACTTTCAAGTACACAATTAACACCATTTGTCTATGGCTAGTTGGTTGACAGTTAAACCTTAAGGTACTATCATAATATTACTTAATATCTGACCACATGATGAGCTCACAGACAGCGTTGTTTAAAAACAAGACTGTAGGTCCTACTCAGCTCAATGTTGGTGCATTAGGTAACTTTTAAGTCAAGGTTTCAAACATTAGCAACCTTATGAAATTACACAATTTTTCTATTTGAAAGCTACCGTCATTAAACTGCTCAAATTAAAACAGGTAGGGTTGAGTTTGGACATACAACTTTTTATTTGGAACCATTTCATTTGACCACTAAACCACCATTCAACTCGAAATTGAGATAAACGCCTTTGAACTGAATTCAAGTTGACCGTTATCTGTGCTCTGCTCGATTGAATGACAATACAAGATCAATTTCAGTCCAAAAACATCAATGGGAAGATTCAAATAAAACAATATCAAGTGAATTAAACTTCAACCCATTGCACAAGCAAGTGGCTATCAGAACTCAGTAGCTAAGTGGATAACGCGATGGCGTTTGAAGCGAACGGTACTGAGTTCGAGTCTCAGAGTGAACATCAACTCTGAGATGCAGGTACATCCAGCTGACGAGTCCCAAACAGGACGAAACGCGCGTCCTGGATTCCACTGCTAGCCACTATCCATCTTTGCTTACAATGCTTGTAAATTAAGGCAATATCGAGGCATACGCACAGTATGCACATATGCCAATAAGAGACTGATCAATTTCAGTCCAAAAACATCAATGGGAAGATTCAAATAAAACAATATCAAGTGAATACAAATGTCTGCTTATCGTCGACTTAGATGATTGGAACATGATCTACGTATAATCATCCACCGACCACGTTGACGCGCGATGGTGATTAGTGTAGTAGGTTGGATGGCAGATGGGGGAGGCCAAAACAAGGTATGTCACCAGTCCATAAAAACACTAGCTGTTGGACTGGACCATGTAGGTAGGTGCAAACTAAGTGGTTGGGGTCCGCCTGATAATGGTGACCAGTGGTTAGACTTTGAACGATATTACTCTGAATCGTTCATATTGGCGCAGGCGCATTCACCTTTGTCTGCCCTTATATCTGAAGTTTCTAGATTCCTCATAAAATTTCTATTGTTTTAAAAATTATATATGATCCCGAACCTCATCTCCAATACCCAGTCTTTTCTATAACTATTAGTCCTGTTATAGCCTCTACTGCTGCCAGATTTTACGTAACAATTTCGTTTTTCTATGAAAACTTTAACTGACGTACACATGTTTTGGATTCTACGCTGTATTCGACCAACCGAGGTATTGTAATCTTTATGTTCCCACTTCAACTCGGACAAACTAAACACTGAATTTTATTATTCATGACTTACAGGAAGCAACTGTATCTCTACCGTTATGGTCTATTTCAGTCCATAGTGCCTTGTTAAACTACGTATGTCTGACATCCCACAAATTCCTGTTAGTCATCGATCCCGTATATAGTCCAGGCCAAAAGTCATTGACTTCAGAGATAAATGCTACGTACTGAAGTCATTACTCTTTCTTTTAACCAATACACAATCGTCAGTAGGTGCACATTTACAAATTTAACTTGCCGATCTATTTTGCTTGTAACGTTGAACTTAATCTTGACATTACTTACTCAGTGTTCCTATCATGTACAAAAATATTCTCCGAATACTTGTAACTTTGTTATGGCGTGCGTTTGTAGTTTGGAAGGCCACATAGTATCACCAGCTTTGTGTCCGTATTTATTCGCTGAGTTATACCGTTTGGTTTCATTGACCTTATATTAGTATAGGGTAATAAGCAATTGTATGATATCTTTACGTCCTAACAGACATTAGATGTTTCAATTATGGTATAGGTTCTGCAAAATGGTCATGATAAATAATGTTTTCTTCTCGACGAAAGTATTTTGTGAAGCAATAACTCGTCATGTTGGATACCCAAGTGAACAAAAGTAACCAATGTACTCTGTTACGACGCTGCTCATTATTAAACGGACGCATTTAGTAGGGACAAAATATAATCTGTTTTCAAGCTTTTGTCTAAGGGATTCAGTAAAATTTGTTCCTTTGACATTTTCAGTTAACAAGGATTTAAATGATAGTTCCATGTTCATCAAATCTATAGTTAGTAAATTTATTTGTATCAGTATAAAGTCAAAACTGTCTGCTGGATGCAGATTACTAAGAAATATTAGATGGGTATTATTACTCCTAAAATAGGAATGTGATATGATTTAAAAACAGTAACAAATTCAAATTATCAAGGGATTCATCTAAATATTCATTCTCTTTGTCCTTTATCTTTATATTCGTGTGTTTCGATTCCTTTGACCAGTTACCGGAATTTTGACCTTTATTCTTCATATATCCGCGTTACTTACTGAATAAACAAGAGTCCATTGCATGTGATATACTGGTTAACGTCTTTCAATACATTCTTGGAATTTTCATGTACATAACTATGGTAGAAGATAAACCTATTTCTTATCAGGAGAGCGCCACAGAATACAATACACTAGCCAGTAGTAAAATGGATCCAATATACTCTGGTGAACATTGCGAAGCTTCTTCTGAATACGTCACTGCAATTTACTCGTACATGCCCCAACATTCAGACGAAATAAATCTACGAACGGGTCAAAAAATTAAGGTATTTGTTTATGGTTTTAAAACTTTGCCTAACAGTTGGTCCTTACGAATTCAATTGATACATTCGCTACTAAACTGAGAAAACATAGTAAGAACTTGACTAAATTGCAAATCTGCACAAAATAAGACGAATGGATTCACTATCCACCCTGAGTTTCTAAGTGGCGTGGCATATGATTACTGGGTAGAATTAGTTTGAAACAATTATTTGCCACAAGTCTTCAAGGTATTGACGTCAATCTGTATCTTCCAGTAGAAGTATAGGATTCTTGTTTCTATGGATGATCTAGTTAGGTATTTTGTTGTGCCTTGTACCTTATCCATTAGTTGCTTATTATTCTTGTTATGTCATCCAGATCCGCCTTGTTTGTTTCATACCGGATTAGCAATAATGTATTCTGAAGTGTCGATTCTCTACGGGTTCGATAGGAAAATTCTGAAATCTGAATGACATTAGAGGTTGGTAGTGATCAGCCGATATTTTGTTTTATCAGGGAGATAAACTGGAGGAGCACCAGTAACTGGATATTGGTGTAGCTAAATTAAGTATACAAAGCGAAGTTCAACTTACTCTCCTTAACAACTTTCAAAGTAGTAATGTAGCTGTGGACACGAGTTTAAACTCTGTCATCCTGAAATTTGTTCAATCAGTCTTCTCCACTTTGTAGTGGAGAGATTTCAGTGAATATAAAGAAGTGCCATATACTATAGAATGATTTCTGATATCTTCAAAGCACAGGATCTTAACGCTATTTCCAAGGTGAATCAATTCCCATGTATAGAATAATGTATGTACATTCCAGTCACTGCTTCTATGGCTGTGAAAAATAGATATACTTCCTAAAGCCTAAAGTTAATCATATTCTTCAGTCTTAAAACAGGTTATAACCTTGTTTTTCGAAACAGTTTGTGAAATTTTCTTCTGATGTATGCATGGACGAGAAGAATGTTTCACTTTTTCAGTTCGAAATCTTTTTATGCTATCGTCTGCCTCGGAAACCCATCTTATTCAAGTAAGATATCAATATATTATACCTCAACAGCTTAAGTTCTGTTTTGTATTATATTCCTAACAAAATTTGGTACTACAGGTTAGTGGAAGTTTTCACCACATAACTGAAATGATAATACTGTGAATAAACAACATAAGAAAAGGTCATGTGATCAATAGATAAATAAACAGGGATTGTTTTTACTAAAAGATAAAGTGTATTTAATAAAGCAGTCAACTTAGATTTCATTCAGTTAAGAAGTTACGTTTTAATTTACGAAGAATTCTGGTTATTTCTTGTTACGATCCAATCTAGTGTTTGCTTATAAAATAACATTTTAGGTTTTACGGCTTTTACATCACTTTTCGTTCTACTATCTACAACATTGTTATTCGAGAATTTAAAATCATATGTTGTTAAAGTTTTCGAGTTTGTCACTTCTAGGAAATCAATTCGTGAGTTGATACTCTCTACATTTCATTGGTTCTGGTTTCTGAATCTTTTTAATCTACTACAGATTTTGTCCAAAGACTGTCGACATTCTGGAGCTGAAGGATGGTGGGTTGGCCAAGAACCAAAAACAGGTTATGTTGGTGTGTTTCCTAGTGGATATGTTTTAAACGCAGATGACATTGCAAACAGTGAATCTTCAGGAGCGAATGAAATGAAAGCTAATTCTTTTGAACCAAATAAATGGAATGATGTCACATTTGGGATAGGTAACAATACGGACAAAACTATAACTGTAAAAACAAAGGAAGAGATATCTCTCGACAAAAAGTTACCCGACAGTGACGTAATCCTTAGACACGGTCATGTTAGAACAATTCCTGCTACTGAGTTAGTGCAACAACAGGTGCGTTTTATTGCAAAGTAAAATAAAAAGTTTGTATAAGAGTATTCAGGCAATATTTATTTGATTAGTGAAATTTTCGCCAGTTGGTCATAAAGTAAAACCTGGTATAAATGTGTCGGTTTCATTTCCCATTACATCAGCAAAGCGAGATAAAGTTGTCATTAATATCAGTGATGGTAGAAAATATTAGACAGGTCATGTGGTTCGAAAATAAGTGAATTAATGTATTAAATAAAATAATTCTGAAACTCATAATCTAATATATGCCGCTGTGCCCGATTTTGATCCGTGTTACGCAGTATCTTCAAACTTTGATCAGGATAATTTTCTGAACTCCAGTCAGAAAGTCTTAACTATCCAAAATGTCTCAAGTCAACAGTCGATGACTTTACGAGCTAACTTGTCCTTAGTCTTGCCGACATTGGATGTCGTGGTAACCAGTATTTTGGGATACGTAATACATATCTCAACCAGTTAAGTCGATGACATTTTGCAACCTTATCAATCGATCTACTATTTTTAAATAGTACCTAGCGTCCAACCTTAACATCGCTCAATAGATTGTCCCATAATGCTAGATCAATGTTTCAAAAAAACTTACGACCAAATATTAGTGACGTACGAATACCTACATTTGAAGGTCACATGCGAATTCGAAATGGTCTAATGAAATACTACTAATCCCAATAAGTTCAGTACTTCTATGAGAAACAAGCGGAAATTTGAATTTAACGTACGCAGTATGAAATTGCATTGTGTTGTTGTATTTATAGTTTTTAGTAAAAGTGAAATCATCATTATAATCATCCAATCTGCATTCAGTGGTTTTTAGTTTTTGTCCAATAGGGAAGCTACACGTCGAGATTCTGGAATGCTATTCCAAAAGATGATTGGATGGAATGTCTCCGGCTCTTCCTGAGATTCTTAGAACTTCCCTGAGTTCATCCGTGGGCGGTCCTCACATTTAGATTTCCAAGAGCAGTAGTGTAGCATTATTTAATTGCCTGAGGCCTTTCAGAAAGTAATTTATACTTTTTCAGTGAGATTTAGAGTTTGTCTGTCGTTTGCGTGTATCGGGTATATAGAATGTTTGTGTTGTATCTAAACTCTGCTTTTGAGAATTACCCAGTTTTCATTTGTTTGCTTCTTTCTTCTGACGTAGCTGTTGTGGTTTGGACGCCTCATGTAAAGAAAGGTAATAAAGGTGATCAGACGTCTTTAAGTGGACAACAAGCTATAAATCTTGTAGGGTAATATTCTTCAAAGTTTAAAATATGGTGATGAAATACATAAAATTCATATCTGTTTCCTTAAAAAATTATCGAATGCTCTAATCGAGCACACTATTTGCTTTGATAATATTTATTGTGGTTAAAAGAAGTAAGTGCTATGGCTAAAAGTTATGAATTCCATTTAGTTTGTCACATACAGACTTATTTTCTTCCTCTTAGTCTTCTCAAGTTTAGTTTTGTTGTTGTTTGGCTATGGTACACATTGATTTAGAGCTTAATAGCATTTTATCTAACGGCGTTTAATGATTAAAATGGCTTCTTTACTGGTTAGTATGGTTATCTATTAAAGCATGCCACATACTAGTTTTGTTAACATATAAATGGGTTGGAGTTTTTTCTTCTATTTGATAAAATTATTTTAGTTAATTAACTGTACTCGTATTATTCACTTCTGTTACAGTTTATTGGCTCAGGAGCATTTGGAAAAGTTTATCGAGGTCTTTGGCGTGAACAGGATATTGCGCTAAAAGTATTTGATCTAGCTACAAATCAGGTGAATTTTTGTTTTTCATTAGCCTGATAAATTAAATATTCTCACTAACTATAATGTTTAAAACATATTTGCCTAACTGTCCCTTTTTTAGAAATGAGTCTCTAACATGAAGTCAAATAAGTATTTGTAAATGAGTAGTGAAAATCATCGAGTACAGTTGTTGACATTCAGCGTCTAGGAATTCATACTTTGTTCGTTTGTTAACGAACTGTGTGGCTGAAGTTTCGGAGATCGCCCCCAAATACCCTGGTACGGCCTAGAGTGGGGAGAGTCCGCTCTCCCTCTCGAAATGCTCTCACATGGCCACGCCTATATAGCCTCTGCCAGGGAAGTCCTACTCATTGCCTTATCGTGGCGGGTGTGTTGTTTACGAAATTGAGAGGACGAAAAGCAAATGTCCGGCGCTCTAACCGGGTTGGTGGACATGGAGAGTCCACCTAGGGGAGTTGGAAAACCCTGATTTCAAACCAATGGTGCACATGGGCTTCAATATCCTGAAGGAACAAATGGTGTATGAACCAGTCGTTGGTCACCGGCTACCATGGGACTGTATCTCCTTACGATGCTCCACTGCCTTGTGAATCAGACCTTCAGGTCGAAGGCTCCGGGTGTGGCCCCCTAAGCACATCACCTGCTTCGGTTTGGGCACTCGGGCAGTATCACAGCCCTTAAACATATCGAATGAGATTTGTGTGGCGCATATGCATTTGGTGCCTCCTTGTATCAAAATCCATGTGTTAAAATAAATAATAAATAAATTCGGAGATTATGAAACTTATTAGTTAGGTGAACATATCGTTATACGATCGTGATTTGTTATGAATAGCTCCTTACCGTCCAACTTATAGAAATAGTTTATTTGATTTTTGGGCACACCAACGAAAATGCTTGGTTTCGCAACGCCTAATTACAACGATGGCAATGATTTTTAAACAAAAAAAACGAAAAAATTTATTGTTAATTTTATTTAAGCATACTTGCGGTAATGATTTCGCCACATCCAACTAGTTTTTTTTGTTTTCTTAAATCTGACATCAAATTCTCATTTTTAAGAAGAGGGAAATCTGAGAGGCTGTCACCAAGTTTTATCAAGTTCATTTATTTAAATCAAACCTTAGTCAGTTGTCAGACCGGACTAGAGGGCGTGAGACTAAAAAATCATTACCGGTAAATGAAAGTTGAAGATCAGCTGCAACCTCGTTCGTTTATGTTTTTACTGGAAATAGTCTTCAGCAAATTATTGTTTGGCCCTCGGGCTCACTCCTTTTACCAAGTATATTAAAAGGAAATCACATACAATACTGACAAAGTCCATTTTATAAGAATATCTGATAAACCTAGTTGTGTTACACCTGTCTTACTTATTCGTTAACACTTCATTGTCATCCTTTTCATAGGTAGACAATGAAGCCTTGCATTTGTGTAGATTATCTCATCGGAACATTGTGAGATTTTATGGGATCTGCAGGTTAGACAGCTCTAATTTCCCAGCACTTGTAATGGAATATGCTTATGGTGGTTCTCTGAACATGGTTCTCAATCAACGACCTTTATTAGGTCCCCTTGTTCTACTTGATTGGGCATTACAGATCGCTAGTGGAATGGCATATTTACATACAGATGCCAGAATTTGTCATCGAGATTTAAAATCATCTAACAGTAAGTCTTTAGGTCGTTTTCGTTTTGAGAAATGCTAAGAATAAGTTAATTTATTATGGTAAAAAGTATTTCTTGTAGGAAGTATTTTCAGTTATTCTCCTTTGCAGTCGGTTTTTTGACTTCAATCTTTGTTTAGGTCTGTTTTGTCTTCGAATGTGAACTCATCTTACTCATGAGGTTAGGTAAATCTTATTAATCACTTTTAAATAAAGGGTGAAGGCATTAATGTTACGAAGGCATATTGACCAAATGGTTTTATTACAATGTAAACCAGTCATTCAAAGCAATGGATCAGTGTATTTGTTTTTGAATTATTTTCCATTAGAAAATGTTGCAAGTTAAATACTTGAAATCAGGGACTAAGTGATATTATTTATTGACGTTTACGGTATTCTTCCTTTTTGATAAGTTAATTTTAAGATTAACTATTTGTTTTCTATTATTGTTTTTAGTTCTTATCAGAGAAGCTATTCAAAAACCATTTTCTCTAAGTGAACTTCAAAGGTGTACCCTATTGATAACTGATTTCGGAATGGCTTGTCGTTCTAGTCAACTAGCACCACAACAGTCTAAACTAGGCACTGTTGCATATGCAGCTCCAGAAGTTTGTCGTCAAGTTAGTCCTTATTTTCTTATAATTGAATATTTTGTTCTGGAAAGTTACCGGAATAACTTACTTTAATTAAAACTACTTATCGCGATAATATAACAAAATTGAAAAGCACACTGTAGAACCCAACCACATCTTTGTTTGTGAACGAACAACATGATGTCAGACCTAATGGACTAACAAAATGTAAATATATATGTTTCTAGTTAATTAGAAATGAAAGCATGTTTGCCGTACTTATGATTCGAAAAGCTGTTGTGATCCTGAAATCTATCACTTGGTAGTTTTCCTTGGAATGTTTTTCTATTATCGTATTCAAGCTTTTGTCATAATTATCATTCACTTTGAAGTTCGACATGTATGAATGTTTGAATTTACGTTGAATGAGAAAAGTTGTTTCTTGTAAAACTTAGTTTGTCTTTTCTTGGAAAATATTCAGCTTTCAGTTTTATTTGCAGCAAATTTGTAAGGTCATATTATCCATTCATACATAATATTACCATTATAAATGACATATGGAATGAATGAATAGTCCTATTCAGCCATAATTTGTTCGAATTATTATTTTTTGACTTTAGGAGGGATTTTCTTTTAAATCGGATATTTGGTCATATGGTGTTGTGTTATGGGAGTTGCTTACATTAGATATACCATTTCGCGCAATGGAGCAACCTAGATTATTGTTTATTATTGCAATGTATAATTATACTCTGTACATACCACCAGGCGTTCCAGATCTCTTTGTCCAATTACTTAAAGGTTTGTTGCACTTTGGGTTGTATAAGATAGTAATATTTAAGTTGAATGTAAATCATTTACTAAGTATAGGTTGATATGCTAAGCTTTAAGCCACATGATTTGTATGATTGCTAGTCCCACTACTTAGCTGCTCAAACCGAAGTAGATTGAGCAGGGTTCGGATCTACTATTTACCGTTCTTAAGTTCCTTGATCTATAAGCCTTCAGTTGGTAAATTCCAAATTCACGTCATATGTTCCGATCAGAGAAGGTAGATTGTATTATTTTGTTCCCATACAAAAATGTCACTAACTTCGGATACATCAACCTGTACTCGTTATCAAAATTAATAATGTAAACCTGTATTGATAAGTATATGGGAGTCAATGCTGTCATTTATACCTATATATACATGCTATTAATTTGTCGACGATTTTCATCAAAATTCATATGGGACTATATTTCTTCTAAGAATATATGACCCAAAATAACCTTAATTTCGAGAAAATTACTACATCATATGTTTATGGAATGTATTTATGATTGAAGGTAGTTTTACTATGACTATCACATAAATGTATGGTATTTTAAGAGACCTAAATTTCTGTATAGTTGTCATTCATTTGTAGTAAAATAAAAACAATATGGAATATTCTATTTATTCTTATAAATACAAAATGCTTCTTGTAATCTTTTTCTCTTTAACTTAATTATTGCCAAATTTTATCGAATACGAGCATCGAACCGGATTAAAAATCCTAATAATAATTAATGCTATATTCATTTGTCTTACATATTACATAGAAGTATTAGTTTTGTTGTATTTCTTACGGAAAAGATACTTTCAATCTTTATTACTTTGAATTTTGTTCTTTGAAAGTTTGAACCATTATTTTTCACCAATATAATGTCTGAAAAATCACTCAACTCTGTATTATCTGCTGTCTGTTAGTAAATTAGCATAAGCTGTGTAAATAAACATATTAATATTGATTAACTTGTGTACGAAATGTACAAGATAATCATTTCAACTATGATTAAGGTGTCCTCATATCCTAGTATATCATTGAAATTTATCAGGTAATTTCAAAACAAAGTAAGAAATGAAGCTTATTGTATAATGAATGATAAAATGTGGATTATGGTTGGAAAAATGAATTTAAACATCTCTATAAAAAATAAATAAAGAGAAATTAGCATACTCAGCACTGTTAGTAATTCTGGACTGTCTTCTGGACTATTCAGGTATTATTTATTTTATCCTCGAAACGGTTACTAGAACAACTGTTTACCATGGTCGACTATGGTTTCATTATGTTTTAGTATAATCATCTGATGCTTTGACTAACTGATGTCATGTAGTCCGTGGTTGTAGGTCGGTATATATATATATATATATATATATATATATATATATATATATAGGCCGTTTATTGTCTACTCTGCAATTCACATCGTTTTATAGTAGGTCAGTTTAAGTTTTGTTCTATGATGTGTGATTCAGAAATATTATTATGTGTTCCATTTCGCACCTTATTTTTCGTCACATATCTGTTTATAATTAACCGTTTTCTGTACGATTCATTAGTATAGATAATTATGATCATCGAACAATAATTTTTTTAATGCTTAGATTGCTGGTCACCTACTCCTGTTAGTAGACCTAAATTTGAAAATATTATGGCTCGACTTAAATCATGCAAAGATTGCAGTTTTGTAGATTTAGAACCTAGTGAATTAGCTCAAATTCAACAGGATTGGCGTGAACTTATAGCAGTTCACTATAAAGAAGAACAACAAGTATGTTGGATTTATTTATCTTAATGTTTTTAAAGAGAACAATCATTAATATGGTTTGAGTTTATTTATTGCAAATCATTCCCAGTGTCTTTATTCTGTTCAATTTTATAGTTTATCCGAAAAAAATTATTTATGTATTTCATCGTCAAGTTACAGTGGTTTTAGCCTACTATCGATATGTATAATGGTATTTATATTCTGAAAATAATAATAATGGTATTCATGTTAGTTTACAGGTATGATCAGCTTGATATAGATAGTAATATTATAGTATATTGTTTGAAATGCCCTAGTTCGAAATTGTTTAGGTAGTACATTTTTCACACGTATTACTTCAATGAAAGGCATCAGCCAGGAACTTATAATTATTTTTAAGTGGACACCCTTTTGATTTATGAATGGTGTATTTAAGGTCATTTATTATGCCATCACGAATTGATCATCATCATCATCATCTAAGACTTTTATTTATTTAAACACCTAAACATTAGTCCAAGGAAACACCAAATATATATGTGCAACACTTTATCGTTCGATTTGTGTGAGAGCTGGAATACTGCCCGGGAGCCCGGACTGAAACAGGTGGCTTTCTTAGATGGCCACTCTCCGGGCCTTTGACCTACAGGTCTAATCCACAAGGCAGTGGAGCAACGTTAGGAAATGCAGTCCCATGGTAGCCGATAACCACAATCGATTTATACGCCATTTGATTCCTCAATATCCTGGAACCCATTTGCACCACTGGTTTGGAATAAGGGTTTCCCACCCTCCCTAGTTGGATCCTCTGTGTCCATTAGTCCGTTTGAAGCGCCGGACACTCGCTTTTCGTGTTGTCACCGTAAAGAAAACCTGCGCCACGTGAAGGTAGTAAGACTTCCGTGGCAGTGGCTGTATACGTGTGTCCATATTAGAGCATTTACACACAACCAATAAAAACCCCGACGGCTGACACAGGAAAAAAACGGATTGCAGGGAACCTGATATTCAACGTAGAACGAACAACACAAAAAGAATCGGTACAATTGTCGTTACCATATTAGTAAATTATGAACTTCAAGCATGCAGAAATTTAGTGAACCAAAAATAATGATAACCGGTCAGAAAGCAAAGACCATGTGGGAAATTGAATTGGAAAAGAATGTGCAAGCAGTTATCGTTCCTAAAAAGATTTAAGCAGTTTTAATAAAATATGATTATTCTTGAATATGCCAAATATTCAACTGTTAATCCTTGGACCTGTTACTCAGCTTTGCAATCATTCAATATTTTCATGAACTTTTCCAACGTTGAAATTCGTTTCGAAATTATATATTGTTCCTGTTATATATGTTCGTTGTCACTGTTTAACTTTGTTTAGTACACATATTTTTTCACAAACTTTACTTGGTTCTTTTGTATCCATTGTTTTTTCTGTTTGCACTAAGTTAATTAAGAACAAATGCAATACCTTGTCACTTTTATGTATTGTCATGTTTATAGTATTTTTTACATTTCATATGTATTGGTTAGTATTAAGGAATACAATATGTTTATGATACAAAAAAAACTAGATTATTGAGATTTGTCGTAACTTTATCCTGAAAATACTTTTCCACTCACTACTAAATAGATGTCATTTAAACAGTGTATTATGATTTAATAATTTTTTGTATTGCTCATTTCTTAAAAAAAACTTTGTTAGACCGTAGCTGAAGCACTATCATCATCGTTCAAAAGTGGAAGTTTAGATTTTTCAACAGAACTTTTAACACAGCTGGAAATGTTACGTGATTATCGCGAATCACTGGATAGGGTCAGAGCAGATCTAGTAGAAAAAGCTCATCAACTTCATATAAAAGAGGAATTGTATAATCGAGTGGCTGACACAATGGGTGTAAGTTAATAAAATTGATTACCTTTTTTCTCTACTAGATGTGGTTTGGTCCATACATTTTAAAAAAAGAAAACGATTTGTATAAGTTATCCACCAGATTTTGATATGTGGGTTACAGTCCACTAGCCTGAGGTCACTTATTTCCAGGCGAATGATTTTGTAATTCATGAGATTTTTTAACTCAGCTGTTGTCCGACTTTGTAGATATTGATTGACCACGTGATGACATTTACAGTCGAATATCAATGAGTATTAACTGTTCAACATTTACAAGGGTGCCTTTGTTAATGTGCATATTTTCAGTTGATCAAACTAAATTAGAAGTTGAAATTGGAAAAATATGCTTGCTTCAAAGTGTAACTCACAAGTTCTTTGCTTTTGAAAGGGCGTGGATTTGTGTCGCAGGGTTTAGTTACAAATCGCTATTGATCCATTTTTCATTGATTTCCTTACCGTTATAAATCAATACTTACGTCCTGAATTCCCAGGATTTCTTTCTTTTTATTTTGTATTTTGTCTGGAATTAAAAAAACTTCAATGATTACTTTTTATTATTAGTTCGTACTTCGCTAACTCAAGTTTGATGATAATGACTATGGAAACAATCGATTCGTTGTTTTGTTCTGTTCTGTAAATTTCATCCTTATATATTTTCTTCAAATTCCTACTTTTGACTGTGTTTAAGGAAAACAATACATAGATTGACTATCAACTTATAATACGATGCTATAAAATGAAAACTATTGTAATAAAAGCACTTGTCCCTGTTTCACTATAGATAGGATCCGAATGGTTACATGACTTATGGTAATGTGTAATGCTGTAAAATTATTGGTTATGCACATAAGTAGTGGATGTTGTTTGCATCGTAATTTCCTCTAGGTAATTTATGTCAGTAATGTAGAAAAACAGAAAAATTGAAATAATTCTTCAGAATATTCCTACATGAGTGTTTTTTTCCTGTAACCATTAATTTTATCCTGTCGTATTGTTTTAAGAATGACGCGTTTGTATATTTAATATTAAAGTGTATTTGCGTCGTATATCATACAATTCTCTCTGTTTAAAAATGGGAGGATTTCTTCACGAAGCAACATAAAGAATGAATAACACTTTGTTCTGTATTTTTGTACGCGAATGAAATGTTTTTTCTTTGTGATGTATATCTTATCTATTTTACCCTTCTCGTTTTATCTCTCGTTGTCATTTGTATTCTCGGAAATATTTGCAAGTAGTTTAATTCTTATCTGTGTAAGTCATCTACGATAACCAGTGTAATTGTGCTACTTTGTATACCGAAATATTGCCAGCTAATCAAAGAATCACAATAGGGGTTTTCAACGCTCATTATTTTTTTTCGTAATATGACCTAAATACACCTTACGGTAATAATATATATCTATACGATAGTGTGATTTCAGTTAATTTAAAGATCACACTGATCCGGCGATCGATGGTGTTACTGCCTTGACGTGGTGGTCGGACTTGTCTACTGTGATGAAGCAATCGAGCTATACTGGCTAGAACAATTGTTCCTCAAGGTCTTACCTTACCACGCAGGTCGATTGGAGAGTTGTAAGACTAAAAGCAGTAAACCTGAGGTCCAAGGGCGAAGCCGTACTGTTGATTGTAAAAGGTGTTTCCCTCAGACAACCAGCATAATAGCGATGCCGCCTTCCCACAAATTAAGGGTGGGGTTAGGAAAGGTCAACCCTAAAAATTCAAACCTTGCTCTTTCCACGGATTTCTGTCGCTGGCGGTAAGGTCTTAACAAGTACGGGGCGAACTTAAAAATTACAAAAAGGTTGTGTGTGACAGGCTTCAAGTAGTTGTCTATTGGACACTGCGGTCACGCTCTCAGGTCACTAAAACCAATTATAGCCCAATTCCCTTCCCAGATACCTCTAGAAGAACCCTTCCGTTGTGTGGGCAACCGGGGAGTGATAATCACCCTCATACCTATAACAACACTCAAGACCAATGTATTCATGATCAATTTCTCTCTAATTTCTATTAGTCTACAATACTTCATGGTCATCAAAACTTATTAAACAACCTAGATAGATTTATAAATCCGAAATCTGTTATTTCTACCCAAATCAGTAACTCAATTTAAAATTATTTTAATAATCGTTTATTGCTTGTCATCGAGTTTTTTTTTTACTGAATATTCAGCAACATTTTATGTTTTTGGCTGTACTGGCTGCTAATCATTTTAAAGATCCTACTCATAAAATTCAAACTGCTCAACCCAAACCTCCTCCACCTAGAAAACGTCCGTTTGTTCGTAGTATTTTTAAGCGATGGGGAACTAATGGTAATCCATGTTCTACACATAATGACTACGTTAATTCAGCTACTTCGTCCACTAATAATTTCCAAGTAAAGGATCTTAAACGGTCAAATAATTCTTCAGATTTGAATAATTCTTTTTGTGATGAAACTCAATCGATTTCACGTGACACATCCAGTCGAGTTGGTTGTAGTCAAGGTGGAATACCTTTAATTTCACCTCCCACAGATATGAAACATGTGGTTCATGTGGACTCAGATTGGTTTACTGGTCAAGGATTATGCGAGTCAACGATGCGGTTATTTCCTTGTAAGTTTGTTTTGCATCTGTTAAATTATTTCCACTATATGATACTTATAATTGCAATATTTAGCACCACATAACTTCTCAGGGTACTTCTTAAGAAAAAGAATGTTTTGAAATACTATTTCGCTATCTCGGTTTTATTTTAAGGAAGTTTAATAAAGTATCACATTGTTTTACATTCCAGCTGCTAAAATCACAAGCTCTTCACTGGGTTCAAATACTGACAAATATCGTAATATGTCACCAGGTCATTGTTACAGTCCTCAACTAAGAACGTTTGTGAGCACTAAGTCGGATAGTAATATGACAGATAAATCTAATCCGAAGTCACCACGTATTTATTCTAGTGGAAATAATATTACAGATCTTCGATCACGTGAACAACGTTTTGTTGATGTCCAAACAAACTCACAAAGAAATTTGAATCGGTTGCCTAGGAAACAAAATTTTATTCGGAAATTTGAAAGTATGTTTAATTTTTATTACCTGAGTGCTGTTTTAATACTGATTTAAACTCTTAACTATGTATTTTTTCCTTTATTATAAATTGATGGTTCCGACGATTAACTACTTGTTTCCTTTGCAAGTGTTATTTTAATTCCTATGTCTTTTGACGTTGACAGTCTTCCGCTTACGGTGAATGATAGGAAAGGCTCTGACTTTCATTCTTACCGCATGTTGTCCTATATTTTATTTATTTTTTCAAACACAAACATTGGTACAAGGAGGTACCAAATACATATGCGCTACACAAATCATTCGATTTGTATGAAGACTAGAATACTGCCTGGACGCCAGAACCGAAGCCATCTTTTAAAGTAATAAATAAGAAATATCTATCCTAATAAACTAGTCATATAATGATTTCAGTTCACTTTTGAAAGATGACTGTCATGGAGATAGGGTTTTTCATACCACTGTAGTTTTCCGTTGACCCTTGCAATGTTTATTAGTGAAAACGTTTGTCGTATAACTTCTCTTCTTCAAATAGAAGAGTTTTTTTACTATCGCGTAATACTTTAAAGACGTATCCTTTACATAATTTATGTTCTTTCCGACTAATCGTTAGTTTTTACTAGGAGACGGTAACTTCAGTTGAACTTGACGAACTACTGGTTCGTATATATTTGAATTCAGGTTAAGTAATCGTGGGAATGTCAAGCGTTACTACCGTGGAGTTAAAATCGAGTTGGAGAGAAGTAAGATATGAATCTTCAGGCTAGTGGTTCTTGAACCACTAAGCCTTCATTGTACATAGACCAAAGTTGTTAGATGCCTTCGCTGTTTCATCTTGATACGTACATCACTGGGTAGGTTTTTGAGATCCTTGAGATACTTTGGTTGGTTCTATCAAGTTATGAAACTTCTGTCATCATTGAGATGTCCATCACAATTGATTGATTACTAGGTGGTGGCCAATTTCATCTGTGTTAAGTCCTTCTTAGTGTGAATCAAATGCTATCGACCAAGTCGCAATGTGACCACTAGTCTAGGTGCCTCGACATTGGGTGCACTATATTGAGATAGAATGATGGTTGGAGGTAGTCAACAGGAAACCCTGGACCCGAATTTCGTGCTATTTGACACTCGTCAGCAAAGTGTACCTGTAATCTTGAGGGAACTGGTGCTCCCTGACGAATTCGATCCCGTGTCACCCAGCTTCACAATCAGAGGCGTTACCACTGGGCTATACGGGCCACGGGAGCACCAGTCCCCTCAAAACCACAGGTACACCTTGCTGACGAGTGTCAAATAGTACGAAATCCGGGTCCAGGATTTCCTGTTGACTACCTCCAATCACCACTCTATCTCGAGATGCCCATCACATTATCAAAAAGTTAAATTCAAGTTCAATTTTGATCGTTAGTTTGAATTTGAAATAATGCCAGCAAGGGAAAAAAAAGTCATCTTCATTTAATGGTAATGGGTTTTTTAATACTTGTTACTCCTGGTTGTAGCGCGTTAAATCTATTGACTAAAACATCTGGTTTTGATTTTGCGTAAAAGCTGCCTAGATCTGGAGAAGTCATTAGTTGTTTCGATTCACGTGTATTTGACAAAAAATATGCTTATGATTTTCAAGACGTTAAATAATGCCACCACTGATCTATTTTAGATAACATCTATTTTGAATACCTCAGAAATAATGCCGTAGACCTTGCTTATTTGTATAACATTTTTATCACTTGGAGCAGTTTCTCAGCCACGAAGTCGCCTGTTCGAGCACTTCACTTACTCCAGCTCGACCAATTTCATAGTATCACTAGTCCTCACAATTAAAATGTTGCTGCAAGTCAATCACACAGATCTGTTCTGGTATGTAAGATGACAAACAGTTTCCTATGTTATCGAAATCTAATTGACTTTACGTTGTCATTGCAACTTGTTGATTTTTGTAAAATATCAGGTTTTCATTATTTTTCAATATATTCTTCTACTAAATTTTTGATTGTCATCCTGGTATCATATTTTCTGAATCTTAGGTAAAAACAATTTAGATTTCCTACAAAAGTCAAGTAATCACTCAGTTGGGTTTAGTAATTTTTTCACGCCGATTAACTCCTGTTGCTATGATACGAATAATGACTTACATCGTAGTGAACATTCTCAGAGTGGATATCATCACTGTAGACCCATAAAACCCATCATAGGAATTGATAATCGTATGCGTAATAATAATAGTCCACCGTTTTTTGAAAGACGCCGTTCAGCTTCTGGGTAAGCGTTTTTTCGAGTAATTATCTTGTAATCTTGGTATAAGATTTGTTTTATTGAATGTGGTTCCGTAAAATTACGACTTTTCTTAATGACTCTATCGTCTCAACCTACCTGAAATAGTAATTTTAATTTACAATGCAGAATATCCACAACATATTTCATTGCAGGTAGGCTTAATTCATCAGCAATGTAAAGTTTAGTAACTTGATAACTTGATGTTTTCTAATATAACTTCATTTCGTTATTTCACAAATTCTTGCATTTTTTGTCTTCCCTTAAATCCTAAGTTTCTCAGTCAGTCAGTCAGTCAGTCAGTAAGAACGTAGAATTTCGTACGTACGTAAATCAGTTCGAGTCGCCGTACCACATTAGCACAGAGATGCAGTTGTCGATTCAAATCCCACAGTGGTAGAGGTAGTAAGAGTATAAGCAGTAATCGGAAAGATTAGGGTTTAAAGATGTTATTCAAGGAGTATAATCCAATGAAATAAATTTGGAAAGAGGAAAAGAAAAGGGACATGATAAATTCAGAAGATTAGAATTTGGGGGAACATAAAGAGTGGATGCACCTGCACCATTGCAAACGATTTTGAGTCATGTCATTCAGGGTCTCTAACCATCGGTTGCTATCGTCTCTCAGATCCCAACCAGGTAGTCTACACCTACGAACATGGCTCAGTCCACTTGTCAGTGACTTCATAGATTTGTGCGATGTTTTGGTCTGACCTCCCCTAGCTTTCTTCCAACCTACTCCTACACCACAAAATATCGCTCGTCGAGGCGGTCGGTGGTTGGACATACGTAACACGTGTCCCAGCCATCTCAACTGATGAAGTTTCATTACTTCATCAATTGGTTTGCCATCCTTACCTAGTACCCGTTTCCTTACAACTGCGTTACTTACTCGATGGTCCCAGGATATACAGGCAATGTTTCGAAGACGCCTATGATCAAATACTAGTAACCTATGAATGTCCTCTACTCTTACCGGCCATGTTTCACTGCAATAAAGTAGGACGGAATGAACTGCTGCACAGTAAACCCGTCCTTTGGTTGGTAGATGGATATTTCGCCCACGCCATAAATGACACAGGTTGGCAAAAGCTAGTCGAGCCTTCTGTATCCGTGCTGAGATTTTATCATACACCAGACCACAAGGGCTGATGAGACTTCCAAGATAAGTGAAGCGGTCGACATGCTCAACTACTCCACTCCCTATCACTAGTTCGGGTGTCGATGCTAACCAATCCTGGAGTAATATTTTGCATTTCGAGAGGGATAATCGCATCCCGAACATGCTAGCATTGTTGCTTATAATGGGCAGAAGACTCTGTATTTTGTCAGCGTCTTCACCAAATAGAACTGTGTCATCAGCATATTCTAGGTCAAAAAGGGAATCTCCTGGTAGAAGTTCAACTCCTGGAAATTTAGATGAGGAAGGTGTTATCTCTAAAAGCACGTCAACGACAAAGTTAAACAAGAGTGGAGAGAGTGGACAGCCCTGACGAACACCACTTGAGGTGTTCAATTCTGATGACAGTTCGCCATAAGCTCTCACACTACCAGTTGTGTTCGAGTAGAGAGCCTTTATAAGGTAATGTGCTTCTTTGGTACTCTTTTCCGTGGCAAACACTGCCATAGGACTTCACGATCAACCGAGTCAGATGCCGCCTTAAGGTCGAGAAATACTACGATTGTGGTGTTGTATAAGAATGTAAAAGGGCGTATGCTAAGGTTTTTTGAAGCCTTAGCCATACGAAAATTCAAACCCCTTTTTTGTATTCAAAAACAGTTTGTCACCTTTAACCTACCCTGGTAATATTGGCTTATTACCCAGAGTGATTAGGTTTCAAATTGTGTTCACATTATTATTATTACTTTTATTATTATCCTTGTCTCCTCTTACCTCATTTCGATTTTAGTTGACCTTTTATTTTTATATATAAATATTCTTAACAAGTATACGTGTGATCAGATTGTTCGAAATGTATCACATAGTTCTGATAATCTTCGTCTTCTTATTACATTGTCAAAATTTATCAAAGGGACTAATTGCTTTAATACATGTAATTGGAGGTGACTGCTGTGTTATGTCTAAGATATTTAGAGATATTTTTCGTCACCGACCGTCATCAAATGAAAACTCATTGAAAACCATAACACTGGACATTAGTTTCAACCTAGTCTAGGATTCCTGATCAATGCTCTCTTATAACCTCACTAGGAATTAAAACTAACGGTTCTAAAATTGGAAATGCAGACCATTAAATTCTTATTCGGTTTCGGTTCGTGTCGGAAACTATCCTCAAATCGAACTACTTTTCACGAACCACTCAAATAATAGAAATTCATTCATTGAATCACAATTATTATTCAGTCGATTTCTCAGTAATTTCTCGATGATATTTATATCAACCAGTTAAGTATACCTGGATTTGTGATACATATATTTTAGGAATAAAACAAATCGAAGAACACAATCATATCTTCTTTCGGGATTAGTCTTTTTTTAAATAATGATTTCGCTTGGTAGATTGACCGAGATTTTAGTACTGTTGAATTCATTTAGATAGTTTGATTACGGCGGTTTCATTGTGTTAGACAACGTTATCAGCGCTCGTTTCATTGTTATGAAGAAATGTTTGGAAATGACCAATTTGTAGCAAGATTTTTACTTCTCTTTGTAACAAGTATATTTGTTGATAGTAAATTTTTTATTTCTACTTATGATAAATTTACTGTAATGATCGCTCAATGGTATATATATATATATATATATATATATATATTGATTCCATTGTTTTACTATTCACTCTTATTTATTTTATTGATAATATCTTTTGCAGACCGGTTACCTTTTTTACTCGGTATCCTAAAATCAACGATCAGCTCAAGCGTAATCCTGATGAAAGTTTACTCGAAGGGAAACTTAACGAATTACTTTGTATTATTTGTGACCCTTCTATGCCGTTACTAACATCTGGTTGTACTCAACATTATTATGGAAGATCTCTGTCTACTACAACACCCCCTACTGCTTGTTTTAGCTCAGATATTACTGAAAGCTCTTATTTCTTGAACCCCATTGGAAATTCAACTGTTGAAAATGTGTTGTTGTCAGCATTTCGTCTTCTAGCTTCCTTTTGTTTTTGGGGTGTTGAACCTGATATTGATGACGGGAAAGCGAATTCGTTAATTCCTCTCTATTCTACACCACGTTCGTCCCATAATTTTGGAAAGATTTATCCTGTTTCATATTATACCTCACAATCGAGTCAGAGTTATAGTAGACAGAAGAATTCAGTGAGAAATGCTGCCAACTCATCACTATTATTCGGACACAGCGAATCTGATTTTCAGCATGTTTTCTCAGGTAATTCAATCTGTCCTATTGAAAAGCGCAAGTATAAATTTTCAATTCAAAACACACGACGTATACAGAGCGCTGATCGTCGTCGTAATTATAAATATAATACTTCTTTAAAATGTCCTGTTTGTGTAAATATGGGCCTTGACTTTATCCATCCATGTGAAAAGTTTCCAGATCATCAAGTTGAATTCGGGGTAAGAATCCAATAATAAAGTCCTATTTTTTATCCATCAGCTTTTACCTTTTAAGTTTTTGAAACTGTATGGTAAATTTTGGAACTGTTTGCAATTAAGATTAAGTTATAAAAGTTCAAATCTGTTCGGTGTTGATCTTAAGAACTACAATCATTTAATCTCTTTCATGATATATACATCGTGAATGGATTGCCTGGTTATTGTCATCGGTCACAATCATTTTTAAGCAGACTCGGATTACTTGTTGTTTAATGGCAATATCGAGACAATCCGCTCAGGATGCACGTTTACCAAAAGAGTCTGGCCAATTACAGTCTTTAGCACCAACAACATGAAGATCCAAGCTTTTAAAATAGAATTTTAACTCATCCCTATTGTACAAGGTATTGTCTATCTTGAGTCAGTAGCTATGGCGATAACGCGTCAGGCATTTAAAGTAATAAAATATTGAGTTGAAGTTCGTAAGTGACCAACAACGCTGGGATACATATATGAAAAATACCTAGAATTATAACAAATCACATGCTGCGTATTATGCTGGGCATAGTTTACGTTAACTTAATACAAGAATATCGTATCTTTAATAAACATCACTCTCAAATAACTAATATTATGTCAGATAAAATATCACACTGGAAAATAAAACAAATATTTCACTGAGTAATTATTATACTGAATGAAAAGCGGCAACGATGTTGACCAAAAATCAAAATGAGTAAAAGACTGTAATTTTGTCGTTTTCATCCGGTCATATCAAAAGTTCTCATCTGAATCAAACATAATTTCAACGTAATTTTGAGCCATATTTTTCCTAAGTTTTCAAATAAGGGATCGCGTACTTGTAGATATTTTGCAGAGCGCAACTGAATTAGAGGACATAGTTTTATTAGCTGACAGAGATGATGTAACATCTAATCACAATGTCTGATGCCCTGAACTAAACGTTGCATTCATTTTAAAGTGTGCGCTTTTGGTATCCTATTTTAAACAATTTTTGTTTTTAGTATTGCTGATCGTTTGGACATCCAATATACTCTTCTCCAGCATTATGTACCTGCGTAAAAAATCTCAGTGTATATTGTTCTGTATTATTGAACGTCTAAATAAACAACTATTTTCGTCTGTTAAAATCATAGGTTTTAGCGCTATATTTGTGTAACTTTTCCATGTTTGTGTATAGGACCCACATTCACCATTTCTCGGTATGCTGGCAGGAAGTGGAAGACGACCTAATCCATCTCCAAATATGAAGGAAATAAATCATCCCAATTTTCAAATCATCCCATCAAATGAAATGATTTCAAGTGATAAGCGAGAAAACTATTTCACTTTTCAACATGATAATTTTTTGAAAGATATCAATCAAAAAATAGGTGGGCAACAACAGTGTAAGCAAAACAAGCGCAGTGATAATAGCAACAATAATTCCCAGCAATATACTCATTGTAGTTTATGTAATAATAATCAAATGGAAATAGTTGAGAAAAATGAATCCACAGGTAACTTAAATAATGCATTTTACTGTCCTCATCTTTCTGTTTGCATTGACTATTGTCAAAATAACACACGAAATAATGACATAGATGTAGCCACTATTAAGACAACATTGCCATACATACCATCTTCACATTTAGCACAAAGGTGGTCATTTGAGCATAGTAAAGAGTTACATAAAGATATATGCTCTTCATTCTGTTCGTTTTTATCGTGCCGAAAATTGTCAATTGATTGTCAGTCGAGTATGATTTCGGATTGTTTAAGGTCAGTAGATAAACATTCAGTATCTGAGTCTTCTGGTCATTCAATCGAAAGAAATTCTACTAATCAGTTTTCTCATTCTCTCGTATCAATGAATCCTGTTGGTATGTCACGTGATGCGTACTTAAAGGTGAGCTTTTTTGTAGACTATTTATCGTTTATACAACATTTGGCTCTGGGTTTTCAAGTCATTTTTATGATTATAAAATCAAACACTGTCAAATAGTGGTAACATATAATGTTTATGAATTAATTCCTTATTTCTTTTGAGAAATTTGGACTAATAGATAATTTCTTGTAAAATGAACAGTTCCTTTTTTGGGTTCTATTTATTTAGGATTTTCATTGTGTAAGAATATCGTGTCAGTGTAGTTGAGTATTTAAATGTTTTCATTTTAGCATTTGAAATCAATCGCGTTAGGATTCATCCGTCTTAACATATTTCGGTTCTCATTTGTGTGGAAGATACTTTCTAATTTAGGCATAAGATAAACTAAGAAGTTGACGCACCAATCTACAAGTAACTTCCCCTACAGAATCAGTCCGAGTTATTGTTGTTTTTTTCTCGTCATCAATGAGTAGTTGTACAGAATTAGTGATACCCAAACTCGTGATATTTTAGGAACAAAGGAGATCCAGCAAAGTTTGTTAGTATGATGCTTTCTAGTTTGGAATATTCATTTGACTGTTGTCTGTAAAAGCGTGTAAAGAAATGGCCCAATATAATAGTCAACGTTTTTTCAGTAGTTATCTTTGTTCATTTACATAAACTTCATTGCAGGCAACACAAGACGGCTTTCTTAATCGGACCATTTATGAGCCATCTGAAGATCCTGAATTTTGTTATTCCCCCTATTCAAATCAGACATCTCAATCTAATTCTCTCCAACGTTCCAGCGATAATCAATCTTTTTCTAATTCTGGTGTTTATCCAAATATTCATGCATTGTTCATTGAGAACGACTCAAAATCTGAATCTGGATCAGAGTTTGAAAGTTATGATGATGCAAATGAATTAGATTATCCCAATTTTATTTTACATTCCTCTTCTTCACCTCCAAAACACTCTCAACAACCCCAAAACTTTTATTCACCTTCAAAAATACATTTAAATGATTCAGATAAGCCCCCAGAAAATAATGACTACTCCCACAATCTTAATGTAAATATTGATACCTGTCGAGAAGATTATGATCGTGTAACTCTTGTGCCAGTTGAATCCGGGGAACTAAGTAACGTAATTCAACCATATTCAGATAATGAGGGAAAAGGAGAGGTTAGTTTTTAGTACACTTGCTTTATTTATTCAAATATATGTCCTTCTTGCTTCCATTACTTAATTATTTAGATTTTTTTGGATAAGGTTTTTAGGATAACTCATATTTACCCAAGTGCAATTTTAGATTAATGTCCTACGATAGTTTGTTTCTAGGGTTTTATTTTGTGATCCTTTTTTTTCTATTTGAGTATGAAATCATTGTATCAAGTGTTTTAGGTCATTTACTTTTCTATAAGGAATATGGTGTTACTTTATACATGCTGATGTTGTTGACTATTGGTGTTTACTTTTGCAATATTCTTTTAAAATTGTAATATGTGAATCAAGAATCGTTTGTTATATAAAATCGAATAACATCGTTAATTTTGCGATTGACTAATATGAAGTGTTAACTTGAATCAGTTTATAAGCGAAATTATATGGTTATGTAATTTCTGGTTTTTATTCCATTATTTTCTTGCTCACCCCATGTTGACTATATTTATTCTGATCATTTATATCAATTTCATTTCGCTTATAAACTGATTCAAGTTAACACTTCATATTAGTTAACCCCAACATTAACGTTTTGCAATATTCGTCAAACATCCTAACATTTATACCCTTTCTGGTTGTCCCTATTCATTCGTTTTCGATCCGGTACCCTGATAAATCAATGAATTCGTTGAATGTTGTGAAACGATAATGCAATATGACGAATGGATTAGGTTCATTTGCGTTAGATGTCTAATTTCTTATCTCCAAGCCTGTTTCATAATTTACTCAATATTAAGAAAACAAATAAATTAGATCCGATCATTAATATATCTATACTGTTTAAGACATTTATTACATATTAGTAAGAGTTTGTGATTTTTCATATTTGCTATACAGGACTGCAGTTAATTGGTCTCTACTAACACGTGCATCCTAACTAAATTGCCTCGATATTGTCATGTAGCCACAATTTTTGTTAATGAAGTATTATGATTAACAGGTTTTTTTAGTTAATGTTTACACGTGATGGAAGATTATTTGTTTGTTTTGACCTTTTGAATAATAATTTTTTTCTCTCATTATTTTTAAAATCAATTATGCTTAAAAGCACAAGGGGAGACATCGTCTAACATGGCGATTCCCTTGCACCAAAACAACAATGTACTCAAACAGACCATATTGCCATCAGTCTTCGTTGGAGATGGTCTATAGAAGATTGCCGCTCAGTCTGGAATACCTGTTTGGACTCCGACCATGTGCTTGCGCCTCACTGGACGCAGGAAAAACACATTAAGAAAACCTATTAGAGTCGAATTCAGTGACGAGGAAACCAAAAGTAGATTCCAGGAACAACTGAGGTCACACTTAGGTTGTTCTGAAAACAAGGATGACCGAGATGTTGCTTGGAAGGATATACGAACAGCTGTGAAGACAGCAGTAACATATATTAGTGATTTAAACCACAGGACTACGAGAAACCAATGGATTTCTACTAAGTCTATTGCACTGATGGATACTCGTAAACTCATTCCAAGAGGCTCTGAACACGATAAAGGGCGAAAACAAGTGAGATATAAGTTTAACAAAAGTCTAATGAACGAACATGAGCAGTGGTGGGCAACGAAAGCAAAAGAGCTGGCAAAGAAGGCGCCTGTAGGTAACACAAGACAGCTCTTAAGACTAATAAACAAAACTGAAATTAATAAGTCAAGTGTGAGTCAGTCAGTAAAAACGTAGAATTTCGTACGTACGTAAATCAGTTCGAGTCGCCGTACCACATTAGCACAGAGATGCAGTTGTCGATTCAAATCCCACAGTGGTAGAGGTAGTAAGAGTATAAGCAGTAATCGGAAAGATTAGGGTTTAAAGATGTTATTCAAGGAGTATAATCCAATGAAATAAATTTGGAAAGAGGAAAAGAAAAGGGACATGATAAATTCAGAAGATTAGAATTTGGGGGAACATAAAGAGTGGATGCACCTGCACCATTGCAAACGATTTTGAGTCATGTCATTCAGGGTCTCTAACCATCGGTTGCTATCGTCTCTCAGATCCCAACCAGGTAGTCTACACCTACGAACATGGCTCAGTCCACTTGTCAGTGACTTCATAGATTTGTGCGATGTTTTGGTCTGACCTCCCCTAGCTTTCTTCCAACCTACTCCTACACCACAAAATATCGCTCGTCGAGGCGGTCGGTGGTTGGACATACGTAACACGTGTCCCAGCCATCTCAACTGATGAAGTTTCATTACTTCATCAATTGGTTTGCCATCCTTACCTAGTACCCGTTTCCTTACAACTGCGTTACTTACTCGATGGTCCCAGGATATACAGGCAATGTTTCGAAGACGCCTATGATCAAATACTAGTAACCTATGAATGTCCTCTACTCTTACCGGCCATGTTTCACTGCAATAAAGTAGGACGGAATGAACTGCTGCACAGTAAACCCGTCCTTTGGTTGGTAGATGGATATTTCGCCCACGCCATAAATGACACAGGTTGGCAAAAGCTAGTCGAGCCTTCTGTATCCGTGCTGAGATTTTATCATACACCAGACCACAAGGGCTGATGAGACTTCCAAGATAAGTGAAGCGGTCGACATGCTCAACTACTCCACTCCCTATCACTAGTTCGGGTGTCGATGCTAACCAATCCTGGAGTAATATTTTGCATTTCGAGAGGGATAATCGCATCCCGAACATGCTAGCATTGTTGCTTATAATGGGCAGAAGACTCTGTATTTTGTCAGCGTCTTCACCAAATAGAACTGTGTCATCAGCATATTCTAGGTCAAAAAGGGAATCTCCTGGTAGAAGTTCAACTCCTGGAAATTTAGATGAGGAAGGTGTTATCTCTAAAAGCACGTCAACGACAAAGTTAAACAAGAGTGGAGAGAGTGGACAGCCCTGACGAACACCACTTGAGGTGTTCAATTCTGATGACAGTTCGCCATAAGCTCTCACACTACCAGTTGTGTTCGAGTAGAGAGCCTTTATAAGGTAATGTGCTTCTTTGGTACTCTTTTCCGTGGCAAACACTGCCATAGAACTTCACGATCAACCGAGTCAGATGCCGCCTTAAGGTCGAGAAATACTACGATTGTGGGACGTCTGAATGTGTGTCTGTGTTGTAGGCCCTGACGTAGTGTGAATATTTGGTCTATACAACCACGTCCAGGTCGAAAACCAGCCTGCTCTTCACGAGCTTTAGTTAGGCGTCGAAGTATTATTGAAGCTAATATTTTAGACACTATATTTGTCAAACTGATTCCTTCGTGATTGTCACAAGAGGACATTTGTCCTTTCTTATAGACTGGCACAATCAGTGATTGAGACCAGTCAGATGGGATTACGTCCAGTTCTCAAATTCTACCTAAGACCTCAGTCTATCTTACTGCTAATACTGGACCGCCATCCTTAAAAATCTCAGGAGTAAACCTGTCAGGGCCTGCTGCTCTCCCACACTTCAGATTTCCTATTGCTTTTTCAACTTCATAAAGAGTCGGAGGACCTACATTAACTTGCCATTCAGGTTGACTAGAGATCGTGGGAAACAGAAGTGTGGCTGAACGCTAGTTGAACTGATCCCCAAAGTGTTCTGCCCATCGATCCAATCTCCTGAATTGAGAATGTATAATATGTCCCTCTTTTTCGGAGATATTTTCTCTAACAGTCGGGTTCCTAATACCGGTTTCCTTAACAAGCCTGAACAGTTGTCTGCTGTTACCTATTGCCACTGCCTTCTCCATCTCTCTTGCCTTCGCTACCCACCACTGTTCACCATCATTGCGTATGGTTATTATCAGTGTAAGTGAGACTTTATCGAGAAAAAAACGACACTCTTATCTCCTCCGAGTTCAAATGTTCAGAACGATGGGCGGGACATTTATTTAACAGTTCAGCCACTCTACAAATACCCACCATTCTTAGACAGCGTGAATAGATCATTCAAGTAGGTTCCTCGTATCTAGCTGAAGTTTCAATGGCTGTTGCTAATCTGAAACGAGGAAAAGCAGCTGGTCCAGATGGATTGGCTCCAGAGGTCTTTAAGGATGGTGGTTCAATTTTAGCGATTAGGTTGACTAATATTTTAGCTAGAATCTGGGAGTTAGACGTTATTCCATCTGACTGGTCGCAATCACTGATTGTCTCAATAAATAAGGTGTTAAACTCATCCTGTGCTAACCATTGAAGGATTAGTTTGACTAGTATAGCATCTAAAATACTAGCCTCAATAATTATCGGACGCCTAACTAACACTCGTGAACTGCAAACATGAGAAAATCAGTCTGGCTTCAGTCCTGGTAGTGGCTGCATTGACCACATATTCACCATTCGTCATATTCTAGAACACAGGTATACTTATCGGGGTCTTCCTTGACTTAAAAGTATCATTTGGCTCTGTTGACCGAGATGTTCTGTGGGAGTGTCTGTCATTGAAACGTGTATCTCAGAAGTACATAAACCTTTGTGAAGGCTCTTTAATCGAACACTACCAGTCGAGTCACACTTTATGGCGAACTGTCATCTGCTTTTGCAACCTCAAGTGATATCCGTCAAGACTGTCCACTATCTCCATTTTTGTCAAAATTCATCATAGACCTAGTGATCGACTGAATTCTCGGGCATTGGTCTCCTACCAGGAGGTTCACTTATCGACTCAGAATACACAGATGACATAGTCCTGTTTCGTGAAGACACTGATAAAATGCAGTCTTTTGGTAGCACTGAGCAACAATGCTAGAATGTTTGGGATGCGTTTCTCTCCCTCAAAATGCATGTTGTTGCCTCAGGACTGGCCTACATCAACACCTGAACTAAGGATAGTGAGTGAAGTAGTCGAACGCGTTGACAACTTCACTTATCTTGGAGTCTGATCAGCCCTAATGGGTTGGTGTCTGACGAAATCTCAGCACGGATTGAGAAAGCGCGTTTGGCTTTTCCTAACTTACGTCACCTATGTCGTAGGCGAGATATCCGTCAATCAATTAAGACACGAGTATACTGTGCAACAGTTCGTTCTGTCCTACATTACGGTTGCGAAACGTGGTCATTAAGAGTAGCAGATACTCGTAGGTTGCTAGTGTTTAATCGCAGATGTCTTAGAAATATTGCTTGCATTTTCTGGGATCGCCGGTTAAGTAATAGTGAGGTTAGACGAAGAGTATTAGGGAATGATGGTAAATCGGTTGATGAGGTTGTAAATATCATTAACTGAGATGGTTGGGCCACTTGTTACGCATCGCTGAACACTGATTACCAGAACGTGCAGTACTGACCAGTGTTGGGGATGGTTGGAAAAAAGTTAGATGTGGCCAAAAGAAAACGTGACATCAGTGCTTGAATTCACTAACTTCTAGTCTAAGCCATGTTGTTAGATGCAGACTACTTGGTTTGGGTTGGCATGACTATCGTAACGGGTGTTTGTAGACTGGGTAACATGGCTCAGATCAATCACAATGGCTTAGCTGTATACTCTCTCTGTCTTCGCTTAAACTATGTGATTAAGATCGCTTCATATCTTTCTTTCTACGAACTAATTCTTTATCTCAGTATTATATCCTTATACACAATCTTTTTTTATATATTACCACCACTGAATTAACTACTTCTATGGATCCGGTGTCTATCTTGTTGTGCTAATGAGGTGTGGCAACTTGAATCGATGCATTTATGTGCCTGGTCCTACGTTGTAGCTGACTGATTTTAAATCAATTACCCATGAGTGAAAGGCAGAACCAATCCGCTTGTAAACATCGTCATAGAATGTGTTTAGGTTGCAGTCTATTATCTGGTCCTTTTATAAATAATTAAAATATCATGATATGAGAAGTCAGTTTGGAAGATTAAATAGTGTTCACCTGTCCTGCCTATGGTGTTTTACTAATAAAAAAGTTTGTATTCGTGCTAACTTTTTCGAATATGTCCCATTTCTCAACTGTCTCTTCTTAAAAATACTTTTAGCCTTTAGCCGAATACTACAATGATAATTCGACTACCAAAATGACTGTAAAAAGGGTTCTTCATAGAAGTCAAGCAATTCGTGAGCGACATAGACCTACGTTTTTGACCCTTTTCCGAAACCGATCACTTCCTAGCTGTGTAGACAGTGATTGCTCGTGTTTGGAATCCTGTTCATTCCTCCTTTATCCTTCAGATAATGGTGTCGATGAAGTCTCTGATTTTCCTCACAAGGCGAAAAGTTCCAAGAGTCCTTCTGGTCCATTTGTTTCTCTACATTCTACATTCATTTAATCTCTTTCTATTTTGCCATGTTGATTTATTTTCCAATTCTGTCAATGAGTAACGTATTTTCTCTGTGATTACTATCTGTTCTATTTTCACTATTTAGGTTGGACGCATTTATTATTATTTTTAGGTAATTTTTGATGGTCAATCTTACATAAATCTTTTTAACACCTTGTCTAGCACACAGTATCTGTATTTTTTTTCAGATATATTTTATTTAATGCATCTGTGTCTCTCTTACTTCACATTTATTGTGTTTCAAAATTACATTTGTAATCTATTTTGAAAATAGTTATTTGTTCTGAAAGCCTTGCATGTTACATGTGTTATGTTTTCTGTATTCAAAATTTGTATAATATATTACCTTTTTAATGACTACAATGAATTTGCTTCAGAGTCTTTCGATGTGTCGTTCTACTACCGCAACAACTATTATTTTTTATTTTAATTGTGTAATTTGGCCTGCTTTTCATTTTTCAATTCTATTCTTGTATATCTTTCCTAAGTACTGGACGGACTAGTTTAACTTAAGAAAGGAATTTCTAGAGATGAATATCTATATATAAACCGTCACAAACAATCTTATATTTGCTATTAGGTCAAGGAAATTTTGTCTTTTTAGACTCTGTAAATTTTTTGATCTCATTTTTTCTCTTATACTAAAGTAATAATATGATATATTCTGAATAAATACTTGTACTATGGTTTTGTCTCAAAGAAAACTGTTTATAATATCCAAAGTACAGTGTAATAAATATCAGTTAATGAAATGTGACTTTGGTTAATTAAGTTCTCAAAGTTTGTTTAATAACTGATTCATTTAGCATATGCATCTATTGGAAAATAGAGACATATATATCGGTTCATCCTTTAGTATTTAACTTATCCATATGTACTACTATTTTATTTCGAATATGTTCTCGAAGCCTTATCTGGAGCTTTGTAAATACGATTAGATACACAACTCTCATTTATACCTACAAAGTATTATGATTAAAATGTCGTCGGTAACATTATTCTGTTCTCTGATAAATTACTGATTCCATTCATTTAAAGCGTTTTGTTACTGACTGTAAAGAGAATGTCAGTGACTGTTTTTTTTAAAAAATCCCTTACATGAAATATGAACATTTATCCATAGTTTATTAGGCGAAAACATCCCTTAATATTATTAATCATGAAGCTTGTCGATAAAGGTGTGCAATAAACTAGTGTTACTAAAAAGTTATGAGGTCTATATACTGATCCTTTACTGTGAAAATCTATCCACATGGATTCTGTGGTTGAATGGTCATTACGACATAATTATCAAAGTATTCGGTTGGGTAGAAAATGTGCGGGAAATCAAGATTTTAGTAAAACATGCTTTTAAGAATTAAATATAACAAAAAAATTATGACATTTTTTCTGAGCAATATTCAGTGAAAGTTGTCAGTAGAATTTAATTCATCCACTTTAACAAATAGGAATTACTGGCACTGAAGTTGTGAATAGATTCATCCGTTCATATAGGACGATAACCGTCTGAATATTGAAGGCTCAAGGTGATATCAAAAAGTTTGGAACACAAGACTGAATATGTTTCAGTTGCGTTTTTCACTGTATGCCTGATGTATGAATAAAATTTTAAAGTGGAGCTGTCATACATAGAACTATCGGAAAATCGACTGATTTCATGCATAATCACAGGTAACGTAAAATAACAGAAAATACAACAGAATAATAACAACATGAGGTTATTTAATTTGAGGTCAGTAGTCAAACGCTTTGACATATCGGATAATCTGTGTTTTGTATGGCTTATCACTCTTTTAATTACATTATTACAATATGAGATTTGGAGGCACTTGGGTTTTTCCAAATTTGGGATATTGAGAAGCCTGTTTAAGTAAAAAAAATTGGATATCTTAGCAGATTTAACTGCTTATTATTGTAATCGGAAACACAAAGCTAATTGAAACATTACTACTGCGCGAATATTATTTGGTGTCTAAGGACTGAAGAAGCCGTGGAACTCACCTTTGCCTTCAGGGTTCTAAGAATCGCTGCCCCCATCAACGTATGCTCTTGCATTTCCCGCTGCTCCGTGTCTTGACTAAATGCAGTTTGCTCACTCACAACTTAGACTCCCCATAAATTAATGTCTGGGTCCCTGAATTGTCAGGGTTAGTTGAGTTAGAAAATGCCTTATTACAGACTGCTTAGTGTCTTTCATGGCCATCATCCTGCTGCCTAGATCAACCTACACCTTTTGTAGTATCGCGTTAGACACCATAACGAGACGTTCCCTTCTTCAAGCTACCCCACTTCTTCGGAAAACAGTCCAATTGCCTGTTCGGTGTTAGAGCAAAGGTTATAGGTTTATCCTGATACATTCTAATTATTCGCTTTGCTAGGCGGAACTAGATATTTTGGTTATACTGAAGGAAACAAGCACTAGACAGTACCACCAGTCTACCACCCCTATATTCACGTTATACAATCGATTTGTACGTTCGAATCACTGTAGTTCTGTAGCAGGGTTTACTCTGGGTTGTTTTCGGAAGTATAATCCACCATTTTTGATTGTCAACGTTTACACTTCCTCTCCGGCCTGACAATGCACACGAGAAAAAGTCACATGCATACGTCACGGGATAGACCGGTAAGGTATCTATTCTGTTTCTTTAGAACCATATTCTCAATGTTAAACCTTCTCCAACATCATTGCTGCAACATTATTTCGACTCCATTACTATTCATGTTTTATATTCGTTTCGTCGTTCTAATTTGGTATGGTCACTTGGACCCGTGGACATTTTTGCCAGGTCCTGGATTGATCATGACTGACTGACCAAGGCAACAGAGTGCATAAACAAGGGAATAGAATGTTATGTAATTTTGGAAAACTGTTACCTCCACCTTCATTTTGGCTTTGGATTTTCTAACATCTGATGACTAGCGCATATAGTGAGTTTATTGTTCCGTGTTTCGCTTGACTAAGTTTTTTTATGAGACTTTTAAACTTATTTCATTGTCACTAACTTAGTGTAAAATAATAACCACGTAATGATTTTATACACATAGCGCCTATACACACAGCTTCACAAATGAAAAAAACATTACAAAAATCATATTCCTAACTAACATTTGAGAGCCTCTCTTAGATTTCTGGTCAGGTGAGTTTCGAAATTTTAAATTCATCTCCATATTTGAATATTGTGACAACGATTTCATTTCGTTTCGCGAATTACTTTCTTTAAACGAGTACGTATATCCATCAGTTGTATCATTGAACGTTTTTTCCTACAAAAGAGGGTTCGCTATGTTATTCCAACAATAAATTATATCAAATAAGTTAGGAGATTTATTCTAGTTTAGTTACGTATGAAATTAATATTACGGAAAACAGTTTATCAACATGTTAAGGTCGTACACTGATTTATTAACAGAGAAGTGGAGTGTTTCCCAAAATTTTAGTCTGAAAAACTGATTATCAATGGGGTATAATATTGATGTTCCTTGATAACGAATAAACAGAATATTTCTCCCACATTGAAAAAAATCAGACAAAAATATGGTATCAATAAAGTTACATTGCAATGCCATGTGGATTCTATCTTTCGAAAAGCAGCGCCTAGTATTTGTTGAGAAATACTTCAAAACCATGGTTATCATTTGATGGTGAGTATTTGGTTTCTATTTTCTTTCCTTTGACTGATGAAATTTACGAAGTTACAAGCATTACAAATTATCTATACACAGCTAGTGTGAATAGATATCTTCAGTTCTTCCTTAAGATTATTATCCCTTTTTGACTAAGCATCAATTTTAGCTGATTTCAAAGTTAACTCATACGATTCATCATTTTAGTACTAGTATTTATTTAATGAAAAAACACTTCCAAGATTGATACCTTAAAACCAAACTCCCTTGAATTTCAGTAATCATTTACCGAGTGATTTCAGCCTAAGCACAGCTTCGGAAATCATATAAATATTTTTTAAAAGTCTTAGTTACACTGACAATATTCTTCAACAGTTAGTTTAATTTATATTTCCTATACGACGTTTCCTTAAGTTGCCTTACGAACAACATATTTACATATTCATCAGTTAAATGTATCCACTGAAAAAAAATCATACCAATGAAGTGTAAACACATCTATTACCAAGTCTTCATAACTCTCGTTCCCCGAAGCAGCATGGAATGATATCCGAAAAGCTGTGGAAAGAGCGGTGATATCTGCTAGTACGGTAAACCACAAGGTTAGGGAGCAACACTGGATCTCAGCAGCATATACCGCACTGATAGATGCTCAAAAACTCATTCCATCTGGCTTTGAAAATAACGAAGAGCGGAGTCAGCTTAAGCGCAAACTGATAAGAAGCCTACGCAATGATGGTGAACAGTGGTGGGTAGCGAAGGCAAGAGAGATGGAGAAGGCAGTGGCAATAGGTAACAGCAGACAACTGTTCAGGCTTGTTAAGGAAACCGGTATTAGGAACCCGACTGTTAGAGAAAATATCTCCGAAAAAGAGGGACATATTATACATTCTCAATTCAGGAGATTGGATCGATGGGCAGAACACTTTGGGGATCAGTTCAACTAGCGTTCAGCCACACTTCTGTTTCCCACGATCTCTAGTCAACCTGAATGGCAAGTTAATGTAGGTCCTCCGACTCTTTATGAAGTTGAAAAAGCAATAGGAAATCTGAAGTGTGGGAGAGCAGCAGGCCCTGACAGGTTTACTCCTGAGATTTTTAAGGATGGCGGTCCAGTATTAGCAGTAAGATAGACTGAGGTCTTAGGTAGAATTTGAGAACTGGACGTAATCCCATCTGACTGGTCTCAATCACTGATTGTGCCAGTCTATAAGAAAGGACAAATGTCCTCTTGTGACAATCACGAAGGAATCAGTTTGACAAATATAGTGTCTAAAATATTAGCTTCAATAATACTTCGACGCCTAACTAAAGCTCGTGAAGAGCAGGCTGGTTTTTGACCTGGACGTGGTTGTATAGACCAAATATTCACACTACGTCAGGGCCTACAACACAGACACACATTCAGACGTCCCACAATCGTAGTATTTCTCGACCTTAAGGCGGCATCTGACTCGGTTGATCGTGAAGTTCTATGGCAGTGTTTGCCACGGAAAAGAGTACCAAAGAAGCACATTACCTTATAAAGGCTCTCTACTCGAACACAACTGGTAGTGTGAGAGCTTATGGCGAACTGTCATCAGAATTGAACACCTCAAGTGGTGTTCGTCAGGGCTGTCCACTCTCTCCACTCTTGTTTAACTTTGTCGTTGACGTGCTTTTAGAGATAACACCTTCCTCATCTAAATTTCCAGGAGTTGAACTTCTACCAGGAGATTCCCTTTTTGACCTAGAATATGCTGATGACACAGTTCTATTTGGTGAAGACGCTGACAAAATACAGAGTCTTCTGCCCATTATAAGCAACAATGCTAGCATGTTCGGGATGCGATTATCCCTCTCGAAATGCAAAATATTACTCCAGGATTGGTTAGCATCGACACCCGAACTAGTGATAGGGAGTGGAGTAGTTGAGCATGTCGACCGCTTCACTTATCTTGGAAGTCTCATCAGCCCTTGTGGTCTGGTGTATGATAAAATCTCAGCACGGATACAGAAGGCTCGACTAGCTTTTGCCAACCTGTGTCATTTATGGCGTGGGCGAAATATCCATCTACCAACCAAAGGACGGGTTTACTGTGCAGCAGTTCATTCCGTCCTACTTTATTGCAGTGAAACATGGCCGGTAAGAGTAGAGGACATTCATAGGTTACTAGTATTTGATCATAGGCGTCTTCGAAACATTGCCTGTATATCCTGGGACCATCGAGTAAGTAACGCAGTTGTAAGGAAACGGGTACTAGGTAAGGATGGCAAACCAATTGATGAAGTAATGAAACTTCATCAGTTGAGATGGCTGGGACACGTGTTACGTATGTCCAACCACCGACCGCCTCGACGAGCGATATTTTGTGGTGTAGGAGTAGGTTGGAAGAAAGCTAGGGGAGGTCAGACCAAAACATCGCACAAATCTATGAAGTCACTGACAAGTGGACTGAGCCATGTTCGTAGGTGTAGACTACCTGGTTGGGATCTGAGAGACGATAGCAACCGATGGTTAGAGACCCTGAATGACATGACTCAAAATCGTTTGCAATGGTGCAGGTGCATCCACTCTTTATGTTCCCCCAAATTCTAATCTTCTGAATTTATCATGTCCCTTTTCTTTTCCTCTTTCCAAATTTATTTCATTGGATTATACTCCTTGAATAACATCTTTAAACCCTAATCTTTCCGATTACTGCTTATACTCTTACTACCTCTACCACTGTGGGATTTGAATCGACAACTGCATCTCTGTGTTAATGTGGTACAGCGACTCGAACTGATTTACGTACGTACGAAATTCTACGTTCTTACTAACTGACTGACCGACTGACATACCTCTCGTTACTAAACTGGTAGTTTGGTGGTTTTTTAAGAGTTAAATTTTAAATAATCATAAATTAGTGTGGCAATGATTGCTTTTAAAAAAATCGCAACAATTTATATTGTGATTTGATCTTAATATGGGTCGGTTTTGTTCTCCTTTTCATTTTTACCGAAATTCGAGAATGAAGTTTGCTATATTGCATAAGATCTTTAATGATGCTAGCATAGTTAGTGACAAATCTTTGGGCTCTATCGTGTATATAACTAAGAATTTATTCGCACAACATTTTGAATAGTTTTCCTTTGTTCTATATACCCACTAGGTATTTATTTGTTAACAGCGATTTCTATACTTAGTATGGTTAGTTTTCGTTTCGACTTGCCTTACAGTTTGACACAGCTACTGGCTGTTACTTAGTTTATCATACGTTTTTCATAAGTTACTCTATATAGCTATTGGAAGAAGCACTTCTTTTTAGATCGTATTATGACACAAGTAAACTCTTTAACTGTCTCACGAACTGAGATTTGTAAAGTAGATTGCTCGATAATTGTTTGATAATAGGACCGTATTGCACAAAAATCCGTGTTTTGGTTTTGGATTTAATGAGCTTATCAAAGGTTTGGTCTCAATCCTGAAGTCAGTTTCACAAATAGCAAGTCTTGTTTTAACAAATACAAATAAATATTTGGTTAGGAATTATAAATGTATATTGGATATGTAATAAAAGTGTTCCGCATATAAAATGTTTTGTTTGAATATTACAATGATATTTAAGCCATTGGAACTGTGTAGGTTATTTAATTGTAATAGGAATGAAAAATCACTTTCATATATATTGAATAATATAAATATGAACGGAAACAACGATAATCTCATACTTTCCTCTTAAACCATGACCAGATTTCTTTGATACTTAGCACCCTATCGTTAAATCCTACGTAAAGAGCTTTGCCTAAGTTCATAATATGAGAATTAGCGAGTTTACACGTACAAATACTTTCCCTTATCTTTCTGCGTATAATAAATCACAGATAATTCGAAGAGTTCCAAATAAATTAAAAGTGAAGACAATATATACTGTATGCATTGATATACTGGATGATCTCCTACAATAGTATTAGACTATGTTCAATAAGTTAATCAATGTCAATATGTGTCTATAACCACATTTTATGCAACATGTAACACTAATATAAAAGACGAACCGATATTTGATAAATGATTTCAAAGAAACTCACGTGAATATTTTCTTGGCTGCTGTGAAGTTGAATAAAAAACAAAAGTTAAACATATACATTATCAAAAAATTCGATTTTAGAATTCTTTGTAACAATAAACATTTGTAAATGAAACAAGTTATGTCTGTTAAGTTATAAATAAAAAATCACTTATTATCATTTTATGAATATTGGGCGAGAAGTTTCTCATTTAAATATCACCTTTCAGATAAGTGTTTTTGGTAGGATAATTTTAATGCAACAATGACTAATAAATCATTGGTAAAGTATACGATGTACAATGTTTTTGATGGACAGAAATACATATTTAATAAACGAACACTAAGGTGGGGGCAACCAATTTATTGTTTAATACGAAATTACAGAGTTCTTTTGTAAAATACGAAAACCATACATTGAATACTTTATTTGCATATCTTCCATCAATTTTCTCAAACTTCATCGTTTCTTCATTGTCGTAACAATTACTCTTTGTTCCCGTTTTCTTCGATTAGATCTTCCCAGGCTTCTTCTGCCAGGCGTTCAACTTCTAATTGGTGTTGTATACTACTTATTTCAACAGATATAAGTGACATACACCACACTCGTCCCCCCTCTAAACAGTCGCTCCTGCTCTGGTCCTGCTGGCCGTGCTATTTTCTCCTTTGTCGTAGTCTGTGCAACGCTCTCCATCAAAATGTCAAGTCCGCCGGGGCGCTGACCTTCGTAGCAACGTCGACCAGCCGGGACATCTTAATCCAATGTCCAACCAGCACCCTGTGTGTCTAGCGCTTGCAATCCAGCAACCTGCTGAATCATCTACACTGAATGTCCATCCAGAAGCTGCACGTCCCACTCTCCCACTCCGTCGACGGCAACAGCTACAGTTAACGCCGCCTCTCTAAAACACTCCGCTCGACACCACCTCTCCGTACCAGACCGCCCCACCCAAAGCCTCCCCTCCAGGCTAAGCAGCGACGTCCTCAGAACTGTACCCTCTCCACCTCCTGATTGGCAGTGACACCAAATGTAGTGATCGAGAACTCAGGTGGAGACAACCAATTTACCATCAGATACAAAATTACAGAATATCTTCATAAAATATGAGAACCATACGTTATATGCTTCACCTGCAAATCTTCCATCACTTGTCCTTTAAATGCTGTTTGATTCTTCAAATTTACATGGTTCGTTTTATTTCGAATTGAGTTGAAATAATAAAAACCTTTTCTGAATATGTAATTGGAACATTTTGTTACCTTGGAAAGTTACCAACAAAATATTTAGTGATCACCTTTTTTATGACTGAGATTCTTAAGTGAATGAAAGATAAAGGAGTTTATCGTGAATGTGAAAGTGAATTGAATTCATCTGTATCTATCTTATACATCCAAATTTTTTCTGTCAGGGGAATTTATTTACTGTCAATTCGAGTTTCAAGATTTATGTGATGCGTGCAATCTGAGTTGTTCGATTTTGATACTGATACCCAGTTTCCCTGTAGATTCATGCATTTATCAATTAGCTTATGTCTGATCGCCTCAAGATTTAAAAGCTTATTTAGAACGTTTCTTTAGAAACGTTTTGTGAATCACATGCCGTATTGAAGAATTGAATAGGAAATATTGCTTATACGTGTTGAGATCTTTTAATATTCACTGAATAGCTATAGCTTGAAAAAAAATTTTAGTGAAAAACTTGTGAGGAACTGATTGTTTTCATACTTTGTCTCGTAAGGTGCACTGAAGCTTACTTACCTTCCCATAGGCTTTGGGTCTCGATACTGAGGGAGTTCTTGAATGAATAAATATATTTGTGTCTCCAGATATTTAAGCAATTGTTGGAGATAGCCCTTAGAGAAATAAAATGTTAATAAAATTGATGGTTCGAAAAATTAATTCTATGTGAATACACAAAATTTGTTATTGTTAGCACATACTTTTATGCTTAAGGATTTTCTTGAAATTTACTAAACCTTAAATTTATATGAAAGCTAACTGAAAAGTGTGATTTATTTTATGCTATAAAAGTTCTAAATTCACAGTATTTCACATCATATCACTTCCTGAGACAAATCTTCCAAATGCTATAAATTACATTACAATCATTTTATATTTTATTGATTCTTTTTGGCCTTATAATAATAATTAAACGCTATTAAAAACTTCGCTCAACTTTCTAATATCTTTTCTCGAGTTATACTGAATGTACATCAAAGATAGTTAAAAGAAGGGGTAATTGGGAGTTTTTATGAGTATTTATGCAAAAATACTAGTTTATACTAATGTAGGCTGAAATAAAACTCATAAGCAATATTTCCAAGGAAGTGACTGACGTAAGACACAACCTCGAATGGTAACTACAATTTTTCAGTTTCATTCATGAATTAAAAAGTGTTTTTTTCCTGAAACTTACTTTGTCACAATCATTTATTCAAAAAATTACGTTATGTACTGCTCACCATTGAAAAAGTCAACAATGGGTTTGAATCCATATGACCATGAAACTTTAACCAATGCACAAAAAATATTGTTGACATAAATTATAAGACATTTATGAGAACAAAAAACGGCTCATAGAAAACGTTTGTAGCTTACAGTAAATGATCGACCAGAGGCTAAAGATTAGTGGTTATCTAATAGCTCTCCATATTAAACAAATATCAGCAAACAAAATTATTAACATATTCAAAATAAGCTATATCATTCATGTTTTGAAATAACAAGTTTATTAGATTAATAATTGAGGAATGAGAAAAAAATATCTCGGCAATGCAGGAAATTTCTGTGTTTGTGAATTCTAACTGTCAGTCGATATCAGTATAGGGCTGTGAAGATTGTTGAGTTTCAGTAAAATCATGAACCAGGTTAGAACACCACTGAGTCTGGAAGCAATGTACAGCCGTCTGGCCTTAGTATAGGACTCCTCATCAGTCAGCATCCACTACTCTAAGCTCGGGAATTGAACACCTCTAGACCACTGAGCCGGCTGCCAACGGCGTTAGTGTTAATCTCGCGATATCGTGGAATGGTTGAATCGAGACATTAACATTGTTGCATACCGGATCAATAGTTTAGAGGACAAGTGTTTTTGCGAGACCAGAGGTCCTAGGTTTAATTCCTTCGTGCAGGGTAGCGGATGCCGAATTCTAAGTATTCCCATACTAGAACAAGACGGTCGTCCAGTGCTTCCAGATTTTCAATGTCGATTTACAGATATTTGTTTTCTGTAAAAAATTAAGAATACTCTTATCTGTTAATTTCAGTTCCAAACTTTTACAAGCGAAGGGAAACTAAAGAATGAATTTATCAATTTCTGTAAATCTATTCGCCACCAAGGGATTAATCTGTGATGAGTTGACTGAGGCCCTTGGTAACCTTCAGTTACATTTGAAATGAACATCTCTATCACTGTTAAACTTTTTCGACTTACGGGCAAGCTATCAAATAGCTCTTTTATTATTTAATAAACAGATCATTTAGTACTTCAAATTTCCAAAGTAAGACTTACACCTTTATCATGTGAAGAATGATCATCGTGAAGTGGTAAGAACCTGACCAGGGACATAATTTTGTTCAGTGTTAATATATAGCTAGATACTGCATTGGTAAATGTGTTATCTGGAGTAAATGAAGAATTTCGGGATTCAAGAAGATTATATATTTGTTCTCCAAAATTCGATCTGATCTGTTCAGGTTTTAGATTCTGAAAGTTCATTGACTTTATCCGTTTTCCTAATTTCAAAAACTGCAGTAAACTGTTGTCAGTTAAATTGTGAGATGCTATAAACGCTTTTATGAAACTGATAAGTTCGTAAAAAAACTAAAGTAATGGGTCCCTATTTAAAAACTTTACGTAGTTGGTTTACCAAAAAGTGGATATTACTTAAGCGTTTATTAAATATAACTTCATCTGAATGTCAACATTAGGTAAATTCTAAATCTTTGAAATCTGCCTTTTTCTAAATGTAAAAAGCTTTTGTAAATGCATTGAATTATATAATCGTTTTACTATAAATTCAGCTTCAAATTATCTGTGTAATCCAACATCCTACCATTGTCTAAATATTTCTCCCTCATATAACAAACTGTCTGTAAAACACATAAATGTAATGTTGAGAACACTTTCTGTTAATAATAAAGGTAGGTAGCACACAACTAAATAATTCCAATGATTCTTTTAAAACTATAAATGAAGTTTGAGAATGAGTTGGTAGAAAACTGTGAAGGGTTTCATGATAGGTTTGTCTGGTCATTTAATATTTAGGGTATTTCAATACTCATATTTTCATGTTACGAATACAATATACTCCTATATTAATCCATGATCACGTAAAAAGAACTAGGATTGAAAACATAAGATGATTGTTGAATATGGTGTTTTATTGCATTTTTGGACCTCCATTATATGTGATTAAAAGCTTAGTGATCATAAGACAATAAAACAATTGTCTATGATCTAACCTCAAGAAATAAGTAAACTATGAATTTTTTATAATCATGAATATTTTAAACAAGGAATTTTAACAGCACTGCTGATAACTTCAAAGTGAATAGTTCTTAACCAGATGTTTAAAAAATCAACTTTTATACTTGCGGAACTCAATGGAACATATATATATATATATATATATATATATATATATATATATATATATATATATATATAAACGTGTATAATGTTTTATGGTGAAAATAGCAATCACATTTTTTTTCTCTGGATAGCATTGTTTGAGCAATCACTGGAGACCACGAAGAGCTGCTCACTTATGAATCAAAACCAGGGTATATAAATATCGCTCCTAATGGGAGGACTTGGACATCTGTGTTTTTAAAATCAGACTTTAAGGCGAAATCTCCAGTTTAAATAAACCAGCTTACTAACTTACGCCTATTAATCTTGTTGGAGCATAGGGCGACGGGCAGAAATCGCCAATTAACTCCATCCTGAACTCTCCTTTCCAGCTTTTCCAAGTGCTATTCATTCTTTTGATCTCTGCCTCCAATACCTGGTTCAATGTGTTTTTTGGTCTATCTCTTTTCCTTTTTCCCTGAGGATCCCAAGTTAGCTCTTGCCTCGTGATTCAGTCTGATAATTCACATAAAGTGTGACCAGTTCACCTCCAGTGTCTTTTCCTAATTTCATCTTCATATGGAAGTTGGTTTGTTCACTGTCATAATAGGCTGTTGCTGATGATATTTGGCCAACAGATGTGAAGTGTCGTGCGTAGACAGTTGTGCTTCTACTGAATCAATAACGGTCTGTTGAAAGGTTTACCTGTTATTGATCCTAGTGTAGTGCCTATGTAGTACTCACACTTATTACGTTCTTCTTTCTTCATTATCTTGATGAGGTATCTTTCTTTCCAGTCTATTGGCGCTTGCTCTTTCGCCTCAATCATTCCAAAGAACATGTGGAATGCCTTTTCAACTGCCTCTGTATCTGACTTTCGTGCACCAGCCACTATGGTATCTGGTTCTGCTGTTTTCCCACTCGGCTCATCTAGTGGCCATGTTGATTTCCTCGATTGCTGGTCGGGTAACATTTATAAAATGGTCTGTAGGTGCTACTTCGATTCCCGATAGTTTCAGAGGGGCTGTTCTATTCAAGAGTTCTTAAAAGTTTTATACTCAACATTTAAGCTAAACTTGAATTTCAATGATCGTTTTGTCCATTTAGTATTCGATTGGACTCTCTGGTTTGACATACCCTTCAGCTATCTTCTTCGTTATATCATATAGTTGTCTCAAGCTTCCTCCTCGTTCAGCTTTTACTGCTATTATTGGGGCTTGGTACCTACTTCTTTGATCTCTTTCCAGTTTTTCTCCATAAGAGTTCCCTCTTCTTCGAGCAGATTCTGTAAGGCTTGGAACCTGTTGTTGAGAGCTCCCTTGGATTCGTTGAAGCTACGTCAGCTCCTTTCCTGGTTTTCACTTCTTACATTGTTCTTCTGGACTTTTTACTGTTGCAAATATGATCGATCTGATTCGTTATAGTGTGGTCCGGTGAGATCCTTGTAGCTTTGTGTATGCGTTTGTTGAGGAATATTGTGCCACATATAATCATTTTGTTGAAGGCACATAGATTTGCAAGTCTGTCTCTATTCTCGTTCCTTTGTTCCAGACCATGTCGTCCTATGATATCTTCACATTCGGTGTTGTTCATTCCTACTTTCGCGTTCAAGTTTCCTATCAGAATGGTCAGGTTCTTCTCTATGCACTTCGCCATGATCGAGTGTAGCCTCTCGCAAAACTGGTCTTTACCATCTTCATTGCTATCATCGGTGGGTGCATAACACTGAACAACATTCATTATGATTCACTCCTTCCTTGTTTTGGACGATGGTTTGATGATCCTAGATCCATGAGACTTCCATCCTAAAAGTGCCTTTCGTGCTTCTTTGGATAGCATGAGTTCGACTCCATGTATGTGCGAAGTATTTTCATTTTCATGACTAGAGTACAGTAGCATCTCATTTGAATCTGTTCTTTTCTATCCAGCTTGGGTCCAATGGGTTCGGCTGATTCCGAGTACTGCCAAGTTGTATCACCTCAATCTCGTTGCACTTTGACTGGTCCTCCTGGTCTCCCATATTGTCCGGACGTTCCATGTACCTGTCGCTCTGGTTGTTAGTAGGGGCATCGACTTCGTGGCATCCAAAAAATCTCGGCTTCACCATAAGGTGTCATAATTCCCCTGCACGAAGATCCTTCAACTCCCAGGGTAGGGTTTAAATGGTTTAATATGTTTATTCTGGTTGGCGCTTTTTAGTAAAGTTGTTTTCTACTGGATGCGTTTGCTGCAGTAACTCTAGAAGAGTAACGGGTGGAGTTTAATATCTTCATACTCATATATATTCCATATTATTTTTGCATCATTCACAAGAAATCCAAATGTTGCTTACAATGGGTGGTATTTTTTACGAGGTTTCTTTGATGTGCCCGAGCTGCACCAACTCAAGTTCACAGGAAAAATTTGTTCGATGTTTTACTAGAACTATTATACTGATCGCTCCAGGTGGTCATATAGTGCAAGATAAACGCTACTTATTTAAATATCATTGTTGAATATTTGCTTTTACGAAGAAATTTCCCATGTTTTGCACATACTTGTAATACTTTATGAACGAAACTATGTGAAACCTTTCGGTTGTTAAATAGTATATATGGCGTGATGCACGTCTCAATAAAGTAAATGTATATCAATAAATTCTACATATATATCCATATATTAATGAAATGTATAAAACAACTGTAAGGTATTATAGTGAAATTACTGATTTGAGTCAGTTGCAACTTTAATATAGTAGTCAATCAGTTACACACTAAAGCTCGATACGTATCCAACCTGTCACAACTCACGCCAATGTTAACAACCCTTTTACTATCTCTATACTATACGTAAGCAATTCTGCACACATACTTATCATCAAATACCTACGACTTCTTTATATCCTCTACTTTTCAAAGGTATATTCCATAACCGTAAATATACACAAAGCAAACTGATTCTTAGTATATCCTCTTCAATAGATAGAATAATCTCATCTAGATCAGAATTCATGCAAATCGACAGAAGCTAAGTGAGCTTGTTGTCGAGCCGAGGTTTCGTTAGACATTAACTTACTAGGAACTCACCAGGTAAATGATATAGTCAATACTCCCAACTACTACACTCACTATGGTTAATCCGGATATAAACACAGATCAGATTTTAATCAATTCTTAAGATTAATAAATTTCTCCATAATTAAATAAATGAAGTCTTAACTTTAGAAATATATCCATCAACAAACTAATATTTTTTCCGTTCGCTCCATCATAGTGTATTCCTTGTGCATGCGTTTAATCGATTGCTCAATACAAAAAATTATCATTCCAGATAAGAAAATATTTATTGCTTAATGAAAAATACTATCTTAAAACGTGTAATGTGACATTAGCTTGGAAGTTCGATTAAAAGTTGTAAACAAACAAATGTTTAAATGATGTTTGTCAGACTTACGGCAGATATTTTTCCAAGTTTTAGAACTTCTCGAGTTAGTGAAATTTCTATATGAGTTTTCTTCAGTTGCCCCATATTTATACCACACAGTAAAGTCTTATGATCAGCTTCTAATATATCTGTAAGTTGTTCTATTGAGGCAGGAAATGATTTCAGCAGTCTAAAAAAGGTTGAAATTATTACGGGTAATACTGAATGCAGTCACTGATTAATATTTTAACTCTAAATGAGAGTTAATCATTATTTTCTTCAATCATTAATTTCCAAAAGCATTCAATGAATTTAAAACTTGAATTCTGATTCTCTGTTTAATAAAACATAGTCTAGAAAGAACAGATATTAAGTAATAAAAACGATTTGTGTTACTGGGTTCAACTACAAACATAAGAAATCTATTTCAAGAGGCTTGATAATAAAGATAATATTAAGTACGCATCGCCTTAAATAGGAATTTATTAGCAAAATACTCAATCATGAGCCTTTGCTGTGTTTGGGACAAGAATTAAGCGAAATACTTCAAAATTAGTGGGGAATAACATATCTAGTTTAGTGAAATGTAAAATGGTTAGCAAATTGTAATAGGTATTTACTAAAATAGCTGATGACGTGATTGAATGTACGTCTTTTAAATTAAATTAAATTAAGGTCAAACGTCCTACGAAGACCAATTAAAAAAGTAATGGAAGTGGAAGGAATTTAGAAACTGAAAAAACTATTTCTAGCAATTAGTCCTTTCGGTAAATTTCGATAATGAAATATGAAGACGAAGATAACTATTTCTGACAACAATACCAATTTTCCATGGAGACTTGAGGTTGAGAATAATAGGGTTTATCTCTGTTGTTGTTTAGTATATTGGTATCATTAAATTTTTTAGTCTAGTCACGTAGTTACATTTATTTCTATGAAACATTTTAGTAAATGTTTCTTTAAATGACATTTTTATAGTTTTAGTCTCATGCTGCCCACCATTGTATTCAATGCTGTCGTTGAAATCGTCTATATATGTATATGTAAAAGTTAAGTCTCGGAAAACTGCTGAGATGGACGTGTAGTTCTAAAGAATATATTATGATATTCTTCTAAACACGAAAGGTGCATATGATTTTCAAAACAACTTAATAACTCTATGATTTTGCAGTTTTTCAAAATACTTAACATGCTAAATGAATTCACTAAAAAAGTAAAGAATAACAATATTCATGAACATGAATTGTGAATCAAAGCTAAGACGTTTGAAATCAGGCTCAATCTGGAACTTAAAGAATGTAAACACATAAATTTCCATACATTAGGGACCCAAGTTGTTTCGTTCTAATCAACTCAGGAACAAAGTTAGGAGATTTCAGAAATCAATTGCAAATTCCTATGATGGTTTAATGATTTAAAACAGTTTAACTTAATAATCAGTCCATTTTCGTTGCTGAGGCAGAGACCTCTAGATGGAACTAATAGAATCAAAAGGTGACAACAACCAAAGCGAACACTTAAAACATGTAGTGTCTAATGAAATTTTTTTACAATCTAAATAATTTTTCTAGTCAAATGTTTGCTTTTTAAGGTGAAAGTGAGATTAAGAAAAACTTTATTCATAAATGGTGTACATTAATTTCGAATTCAGATGGCAGTTTACATACTCATGTCTCGAGTCAGTTATACGTATTACTGTAATCAAGATGAATTCTATTTAAAAAGCACAGGTAATAAATTATGATTACTAAAGTGATTAGAACTGAATAAATTATATTTTGAATGCTAATTATAAGGAAACTAAATGATGGTTTTATCAGTAAATGATTACTTTCAGTATCTTCAATACAAACATTTTGAGTCCTGGCTGACTTAGTTTTCAACAATGTCATCTGACTAAAATTTTTACATTCCGTGATTTATGTCACTTTTGTAAACAGTTCGAAAACTCGTTTTAAACCTTCCCCACCCCAAAATATCGATTTTGGAAAGCTATTTAACGATTGATCGGAGAGTCTTATTTAAATAAGATTAGGGTTATATGCGGTCATAAATGGTTCTCACTTACATTTTTGCATAGATTATTTACCCATTCACATATTAAAACGGTTATTATCGTTTGTTTTGGACTATGTGAAATAACAGTATATTGGTTGATAAATGTAATACATTTGTATTTGACACCGTCAGATGAGGGTTAGGTAAGTAAAAGATATATAGCATAGCTAATACTATAAAACATTTTTATAAAGCTTTATTTCTGGGTTGGTTTATGTGACCATAAAGTACTTAGGAATGAATTGAATGCGAAAAACTTGATTAACTACTTTCAACACAAAATATTCAACATTTACGTTCTAAACTCACTTGTTATTTACTAAAGTTTCGTTTTCTTGATTAGCAATAAGGTAGTTGGTTTTAGTCAACTGGCTTCTTTCGGTAATCACTGGAACCAAAGACCAATCGTCGACACCTTTCTTTTCATGTTTTACTGTCCCGTTACGAGTATCTCTTCCTTTTTTTTCAAACCTTCCTATATTATCAGTGATAAGACAGTAAAATGTTAATTAAAAGTGATTCACAAGCAATGTAAAGGGTTTTCAGATGTGTTTGCAACTCAATTTTATAAAACCCACTCAACCTACAAATGAAAATCAAGAAATAGACTGTCAGAGAATTATAATGTACCCCGTATTATGTCCAGTCGACGTTTTAGTGCACCTAAAAGCTGTTAGTTCAACAATATTTTATTCATACATTAACCATTGGGAAGATAAATGCAGCCGATCCCCTGGAAATATGGACTGATCTTTACGAAAAATGGAAATATTTCAAGTCGGAAAGACATAATTAGAAAAAGCATAATTGAAAATGTCGGAATGACAGATATCTCGTGAGACGGAAATCAAACAACTCAACAGTATTTTGAAATATTGCCTCCCAATGTTAATATGGAAATGGATTTTAGAAATTTTTCTTTCGGCTTGAAAGTCACGTGTACTACTGGAAAGATTAGTCCTTTTAATGAAAAGAACAAATAGAAAAATACTAAGTAGATGTTTTCATAGTTTTTTTATCACTGTACAGCAAATATTGATTTGCTGCCAAAAAAATCATTTCAGTAACCGATTTAAAACTACCAGTCATAATCCAAATATTCTAAAAGTCTATTATGACAGTCCCTTTATTAAACTGGGTTTTAAACAAACATCTTGTTGCATTAGCTGAACAGAAACGTTTTATTTTAGCTTGAGTTATCAAGTACGAAGTTACCATTCACAGGGGATTAAATCGTATGTGTGATTTAAACTATGTGTTTCCATCGAATTCATTCAGTAGTTTACAACCATACATTCTCAATACATTTTCTTAACTACTCAGTTTTAATGATTAAATACTTGAAAAATCGCAGTTAGATCGTGATGGTGTTGCCCAAAATATCATATTTCTTTTTCAAAATGAATGAACTTTATGCATAATATACATCAGTCCTCGACACAAGGTAAGTACTACATTGGAATAAGAAGAACAATCTGTAAATGTTATCTTTCAGTTCTAGTATAAATCCTAACTTTAGTTTATTGGAAAGATTATATATAGAGAGAACAAATGACCGGATAGTTTCCCATCACACTTTCAGTAATAAACTTTTTTATCTTTGCATCGTGGTTTGTTGAAACTTGGGTATTTTATTATACATCACCTTTAAAAAACGTTTTATTACGACATGCATATCGATTTCTGTTAGGTTCGTTAACCTTGAGGATACTACTGATTCGATTTATTCGGAACGGAACGAAGACTCAGGATTTAGAGACTCAATAGACTATTCTGGTCCGTTGTCTTCGACTCTGCTAACTCGATCAAGAAGTCTGGGTAAGGTGTAGGAAGTATATTCTACAAGCAACAGCAGATACCAAGTCAGGCAGGCAGATCAGATCAAGCATACAAGTCAAGCGTATTTATACAATTATTTACAATCGATATTGTCATAGGAAATTTTTAAACATTAATCAATGAGTTCATTAATTGACCTATTTGCGCATTTAATCGATAGCTCATCAATTGACTGCTATTCAAACATTTAATCGATCAGTTCATCAATTGACCCCAATACAAATATTTAAACGTTTAATCAATAAGTTGATCGATGCGATAAAATTCAAAATATGAGTTTGGGGATCTGTCGTCCCCAACACTCCTCCCCTTTTTAATAGCGGGCTTTCCTGGGGTCAACCTGCATCTTGACTATAGCTCGCCGTTCTCTTATAGGCCATCGTCTGGGACGTGTTTCAGATTGTTGTTGGGGTTTTTCTTGTGGTAGGGTTGCCGGTAAGTTGAAAGTATCAAGCAAGATGTCGAGAGGAAGATTTAGTCCTGTTGATGGGTGGTCTGGGGCTATCCGCTTACGTAGTTGATTTCGGTGCCTAGTCCATGTGTCTCTTCCCACCTTTACATTGTACATAACTTGGCCTAGTCTTCCAACCACACGTGCTTCGATCCAAGGACCATGATTTGCTCTGTAGTCTCGAGAGAACACAGGGCATCCAACCTCGTACTCTGGAAGCTTCTGAGATTTGGTCTGAGGTGGTGGTGGTGTGGTTCTTGGGCACATGAGACTGTGGATCGTCCTCAATTTCCTTCCCATCAGGATCTCTGCCGGGGACTTCTGCTTTGGTAGCATATCACTAGGTGTTGTTCGGTAAACAAACAAGAAATTCTGCAGTGTTTCTACTGGCGTCCCCTCCCCTTTCGACTTCATTAGAGCTCTCTTGAATGTATCCACAAATCTTTCTGCTTGTCCATTTGACTGTGGGTGGTAAGGTGGAGAGCGGAAATGCTTGATTGATAGGCGTTTGCAAAATTCTTGAAATTGGCTTGAGGTAAATTGCGAACCGTTGTCGGAAACGATTATATCCGGTAACCCATTGCGAGAGAACATCTCTGTCAACAGTTGCATCGTTTGGGTTGTCGTTGGTGGCATGACGGGAACGATTTCTGGCCATTTCGAAAAGGCGTCAACAACGACTAGATAGGTGATTCCATTAATTGGGCCTGCGAAATCGACATGTATCCTGGACCAGGGATACTCAGGCTGTGGCCATGGGACTGGTAGTATTTTCGCGTTACACTTAGCTGCTTGCTGACATTGTGTGCACTTGCTTACTAAATCCACGATATGTTGGTCCATGAGGGGCCAATAAGCATAGCTTCTGGCGATGGATTTCATTCGTTTTATACCAGGATGACCAGTGTGGAATTGCTTTAGCACCTTTGATCTTAGGGATTCTGGTACCACTACTCTATCTCCAAACATCAAGCATTCGTTTACGACACATAATGAGTCCCGACGGTGGTAAAGCTGTTTCAAGTCACCATCGAGTCCAGTCGGCGGCCAGCCATTTGTGACGTATTTCATCGCTCTCTTTATGATGGAGTCGTTCTTGGATGCAGATTGTATTTCAGCTGCTGAGACTGGCAAAGCACGAATAGCAGTTGTCAGGTAGCACTGCGCGTAGTCCTCTGTCATCAGGGAGGCAATAACTGTATCTTCGCCGGCCGTATGGTGTTCGCTGATAAGTCGTGACAAGGCGTCAGCCTGACCAAACTGTTGAGTGCGCCGATACTGAATGTCAAAATCATAACCCAGAAGTATCAAAGCCCATCGTTGGAGACGGTTTGCAGAATGGGCTGGAACACCAGATTTCGAACCGAAAATTGTGAGAAGAGTAAATCTTCGACCGTACAAGAATTTGTGGAAACGGCGTACTGCAAACACAAGAGCCAGAGCCTCTTTTTCTATTTGACTGTACTTTCTTTCTGCTGAAGTTAATGTGCGAGATGCGTGCATAATAGCTTTCTCTGTTGCGTCCGGGAACTGATGTGAAATGACAGCACCGAGTCCAAAAGCTGAAGCGTCTGCAGCGACAATGATAGGCATGGACGGATCGTAGTGCGTCAATAATAGTTCAGAGCTAATGGTGGTTTTCAGCTTGCAAAATGCAGCTTCACATTCTTTTGTCCAATTCCAGCTGGTATTCTTATTCAGAAGATGAGTTAGCGGGGCGCGTATGTCATGCATCGACGGAACAAAAGCTGAATAGTAGCTAATTAGTCCCAGGAATGATCGTAGCTCAGAGATATTAGTGGGAGTTGGCATCTGTTTTATAGCTCGGATGTTTTCCGGATCTGGTCTGCGACCTGCGGCATCAAAGATGAATCCCAAATATTTAACTGACTTCAAGAAAAACTGGCATTTTTCTGGGCGTAATCGGAATCCGTTATCGCTGATGCGTTGTAGTACAGCTTTCGTGCGTTCTCTAAGCTGTTCTAACGATGTGGCAACAATTAAGATATCATCGAGATAAGTTGCGACCCCCGGGATACCCGATAGAATGATATCCATTAGTTGCTGAAAAATAGATGGAGCTGTTTTAACACCAAATGGTAGGCGATTGTACTGAAACAAGCCACGATGAGTATTTATGGTAAGTAGCTCTTTCGAATCTTCAGCCACTTCCACTTGTAGATAAGCATCAGCGAGATCCAGCTTTGCAAAGAACTTCCCACCATTTAACATCGTGAACAAATCTGCAGGGACTGGCAGTGGGTAGTGATGCTGTTCGAGAGCTGCGTTAAGACCTGTGGAAAAATCTGCGCATATTCGGATTGTGCCATTAGCCTTCTTAATAACCACAATGGGTGCTGCCCAGGCAGAATAAGAAACAGGTGTAATACCTCCCTGTAGTTGAAGGCGGTTAAGTTCTTCGTCAACTTTCGATAATGCTGCCTACGGCACTGGTCTTTTTGGACGAAAGACAGGTTTAGCTCCAGGTTTCAACCGAAGTGTTGCTTTCATAGCAGTGCACTGACCCAATACAGGTTGGAAAATGGTTGAAAACTCCGTCATTAGTTCTTTCGAATATGCTTCAGGCTCATGAGGTTGTTTCACCAGATGGCATACGGTGCTTAAAGGAACGTCAGCTAAATGTAGCTGGTCAAACCAGTCTAACCCAAGTAGATTAAGATCAGCTGGTGTGATGTAACATACACCGGTAAACGTCGAATCGTGAAAAGACACTTTACAATCTAGTTGTCCCAACAAACGTAGGTAATTACCGCATGCAGTTCGAGGTTTTTGTGTTGTTGGAACCATGCGTGGTCTTCCAATTCTGATCCAATATTTTCGTGAGAGAATTGTTACATCAGATGCAGTGTCTATTTGCAGTCTAAATGGGTGCCCGTTAATATTAAGGGCAATAAATTTCCTCTCAACTGGGCATGAGTTCTCACAGCTTGCTATTAGACTCAATGAATTCGTGTTGGATCTGGGCGTAGGCTTCCTGGTACCTTTGGAGTTGCTTGGCTTCTTTTTTCGACAAAGACCATCTTTATGACCCACCGTGTTACATTTCCTGCACCGATGTTGCTTATATGGACAGTATCGAACAAAATGCCATGCACCGCAGTGCCAGCATGGGGCAGGAGGATTTGTTTTTGTCTTTTGACTTGAACTGGATGCTGCTGGGGCAGATTTATGCGAGTTGCGTGGTTGTTGGACTACATGAACTTCAGCACGATCTGAACCACCACGCTGGACCATCGTAGTGTCACGCTGTAGATTGATTAGGCGTTGATATTCGTTTGCAATATCATTAAGGGTTAGTTTTGGATCTTGGTCCAATCGACTTAGCAAACGTGTTCTAATGTCACTGAACTTCTGTGATTGAAGGCTGCAGATGAGAATGAGTGCTTTAAATTGGTCTTCAGTAAGCGACTTCAACCGGAAGCGTTCGCATTCTCGGTTAACGATACCCACATGTGTGAGAAAATCAGCGTCTTCGTTCATAGTGAGCTTCAGACATCGATAACGCGCATTGAATAGTGAGGAGTTGTCTCCGAATTGTTGGCTCAATGACTGGACAGTGTCCGAGAATGAGCGATCGCGTGGGTTTAGAGGCAGAATTAGGTTGCAATACCTGTCTAGTTCATTAGGACCCAACTTTCGAAGCAGCAAGCGGACCTTCCAAGCATCATCCTGATTAGCAAAGTCGAATTTGAATAAGTCTTCGTAACGTCGAAACCACATATCAAACGTGACATTGGATTCTGGATCGTAATGAAACTCGGAGATACTGTTAGCGATACCATCAACTGATGGTGCAGTAGTAGTAGGATTAGAACTGCTTGGTTGAGTATTAGACGTAAGCTTTGCATCCGCTAACATCTGAATAAGTTTCATTTGCTGCTCGAGTAATAATTCAAGTTTAGAAGGATCCATGTTTCCAAAACCACCGTCGCCAAATTGTTAGGTTCGTTAACCTTGAGGATACTACTGATTCGATTTATTCGGAACGGAACGAAGACTCAGGATTTAGAGACTCAATAGACTATTCTGGTCCGTTGTCTTCGACTCTGCTAACTCGATCAAGAAGTCTGGGTAAGGTGTAGGAAGTATATTCTACAAGCAACAGCAGATACCAAGTCAGGCAGGCAGATCAGATCAAGCATACAAGTCAAGCGTATTTATACAATTATTTACAATCGATATTGTCATAGGAAATTTTTAAACATTAATCAATGAGTTCATTAATTGACCTATTTGCGCATTTAATCGATAGCTCATCAATTGACTGCTATTCAAACATTTAATCGATCAGTTCATCAATTGACCCCAATACAAATATTTAAACGTTTAATCAATAAGTTGATCGATGCGATAAAATTCAAAATATGAGTTTGGGGATCTAGCGTCCCCAACAATTTCTTTATTCAATTGAAACATTTATTTTCTTAAAAGGTGCCTCATACACTTCTCATTTACCAAGCTTCCGTCCTCTGTTATTCCTTCGTACATTTTCATAAGTTTCATTAAATTACAAACTTCTGATTTTAGAATAAAATATGATGTTCAGGTAACAACTTATTTTTCTCAAACATAAAACAGTAAAGTTAGGCACTTCGTTTCATTTATTCTTCATCCCTCTACTGATGTGAACAAGTTTTAGATTTATTAAATGTTTTATTAAATACAGAAAGATAGCATATTTGGTAAGGTTATTTTTATATGACGCATATCTATTTACCTATCTTACAAAGCATATCCAATTACTTTGACATAACTTTTGATTTGCAAAACTACCTAAGTCTCATACGACCTATCGTGCACAAAAATATCTAAATAACTTTGTCAATAGAACTAATCTAATCAATGAACTATTTCTTGTCTTTTTATGATAAAATGACTTCTTAGTCTTCTGTTTACTTATCATTTTACTGGAAATATACTTGTAAATATGTTTTGGTACTACTGTGCTCATTGTTTTAGTCCACTAGTCGTTTAATTATTTATTGATATACCAAGAACAGAAACAATTTATGTACATTATTAAGGTCCGATGGGTAATGTCTATTTATGCCAGTTTCACACTCCCTTATTTTAATTTTATTTCTTGACTTACCTGAAAAAAATACAGCATGTGTTGAAGATGATCTCGTTTCCAAAGTAGATCGATTGATGTGTGTCTACAATATAAAGTGAATACTTAGGAGAGGGACTCTATAAGATGAAGAATGACGAAAAACATCTAAGGTAAGTTCATCAAAAAGCGTAATTTTGTTTTATGAAATGAATGTCACCATTTTTATTTTGGTTTATCGCAGCTTTATAACAAAGGGAATGGATAGCGAAGTAACCTACCATTGGAAATGGCGCTCCGAAATTTGATGGCACATTGGTCCAAAGGGTTGGTGCTTTTTGAAAGTGCATTCCTGTTCTAAGTAGTTCAGAATAATAAAAAATAAATTTAAAGGATAAAACCATACGATTTATCGTTTATTTTTCTGGTTACTTATGTAGTTAGTTCATTGCACATGATTATGGAGGGAGCGCTGGTCTGTGGACACTATTTTAAGTGATTGATGGAGTAAATTCGCAGAACCATAACAAACTATACTAAATAAAACAGACAACTTGATAAATGATTGAGTGCAGTAACTCAAGAGTCTGTTACCGTTAAAAAAGTTTTCATAAGATTAGACGAACAACATATTTAATGTCACTGTTTCGAAATTTTTAGCGGCAATCATAACTGTCCTTTTAAAAAAATAGTTTGTAGGGAATGAGTCCCTATTAATTTTTATTATAATTTGCTTATTTCAGTAAACCGTATAGTTCTGGGACTTAAGAAACATTATTTAAATTACTCAGTATAATTCCAGTTTTTGAGTGTTAAGTTTTGACTGTGAACGTAAGAAAGTCTAAATAAATTGTCTTTATGATTTAAACGCTTTCATAAAGATTGACCTGAACAGTAGTACTATTAGTGATCCATTTCCCTACTTTCTGAGGACTAAAACACATTTCAAGTACAGTTCTTATCCACTCATCATTATGTTTATTGGAAACCGGATACAAACTGACTTCAATGAAACCAAAGTCTTTCAGAAAGTTCTTTCGCCTTTTAAAGAAGGATTGACATCTGAACACATGGATATAAGGGCGAATCAAAATAATCTTCGTAGGCAGAATGAAGTACAGTTAACAAAATGAAAACAAGTTATGTGCTACTATATATTCCTTTTATACCTCAAGTATTATGACCAATAATACCGAAAACGACAACTGACATCCAATTGTTTAGTTAACTGTTTAGTTTGTCTTTGACTACTTTTTATATTAAGATAAAAGTACAAACATACGCTTCATATGAACTCAGTTTATATATATGTATGAAAACTTCTAACTTGACCCCTGCCATGGACTTGCATGAAATTAGATACACAGCTTCATGTGCTATACTTTGGACTCAGTTCGGATTGAATAATTCACATTGACACTACAAACCGAATTCAACATGTGAACATACTTGGACAAAAGTTTAGAACTGAGTTATCGTTGTGACTTTGCTTACCTTCGGTTACTTTGTAATTTAACTCGATTAAACTTACAACACTGAAATTTCCATGCATTGTTTAATGATTAAGTGGAAATATGTCTCTGATTCACATTTGAAATCATTTATGTCTTCTGCAGACCAGTAACGTTTTCCTTCGTGTATTTTTTCATAATCCAGTAAGCAGTAATCGTAGTGTCGTAACAAGTTTCTTTTGCATCTCAATTCTAGTTTGAAGGTATGAAGACGAATCGACTTGTATCAAGAAATGAATCAAAATGTGTAGTTTAAGGATATTGCAACTGTTAAAGTAAATTAGATAGCTGAACTTTTGTTTTAATGTTGGAAAAAAATGAACTTTAATTTTGAATTCGATTTATATGTAAATTATGCACATAATTTAAAAACTGGGAGGTTATTTAATGATCCATCAGTGTCTTCATCCATTAAACATACTTTTACTATGAATTCCATTACACTGTATCTTAAATGCTTATATCGAATTCATTCATTATATCTGGTATAAAAGGTGTTGAAAATACTGTGTTCGAACTCAGTATGACTGTTCTTCAGAAAACCTCTTCAAAGTAATATACCATTAGTTTTAGAAGACATTATTTATTTTAACAACAAAGTAACTCAAAATCAAAATATTCTATACTTGGAAGTGACACATGTGCTAAATCATGATAAGATACACTGTTATACAATTAATTCGGTCATTTTAATTTTCAGATGATAACCAATATAAAGTTAATTACTTTCGTAATGCATAGTTTGACAGCTTGGCACTTTTTAAAGTGATAAATGCCACTAAAATCAGTAGTATTGGTTATTTTCTAAACAAATTCCTGATGAATATAAATATTATTTGATAATACATTCAAAAATACTTGATAATTAGCGACAATAAAAACAACTATAAAGTTTACATTGTGTTAAATTATTGTGAATCATATACAGTGTTGTTTGATAGTATGCTCGTTAAACAACTCTATCTCAGTAGTAAACAACATCAGACTCAATAGATGATGCAAAACTTTCTAATAGTGTTCAAAGGATGTGTACGTTAGCTTCCACATATCGACACCGATCGATGAATCACCTTTGCTATAGTAAGCGTTTATTACCTAACTTAAACGTTTGTGTTTGAAATGAGTTTCATAAATGACTGATATCAGCTAGAGAACCACTAAAAGCGAGAAGAGGATTACATAGTTATTTCATTCCTGTTTCAGGTACTACGACGTTAATCATCAATGAAAACATTTGGGATAGAACCGATTGAAACATTCGAAAGTGAATGGATAAATCAATAGCGAAAATGTGTTTATAAATACATACAGTTATAAATAAGGGACGTATAAAATTTTAAAAATATCTGTACCAGATCTCTTAGGGATTCTTCTACTGTTTTATTTTCAAAAGTAAATGAGTTTCGAATACCATGTCTAAATAAAATAGAGTGATCAGCTTCCATTTCAAAAAGTTCGTCAGCTAAGCTCTTCTGATTGATTTTTGCAGTTGGTGGCTGAACTTGAATCAATGACTCCTCGTTGTGTGACTGGATTACTGAAATTTTCGACTGGCTGTGATCGATGTCTGGAACATTCCTCGGCAAGTTAGACCTGTTTTCAATTTGAAACGAATATAACAAATTCATTAGCTAAAAAGTCATTTTACTATCCACAACTAAATTTCGATGAACAGACAAAGATAAAATTAGTACATCTAGGGAAAACTATGAATTAATAATCACTTGAAGATAGTTTATTTCCTGTCTTGTCTTTTGTTTCGGATGCAATACATTTTTAACTTGAACATTAAGACTTTTACAGTTTTAGTCAAACAAAAGTATGGCCAGGCTTTGACCGGAATGAAATTAGTTGGATTTGATAACGTCTGTTATTATGTTTGTGGGTTAAGTAAAATGCATTTATATAGAATATCTATAGTGCTATTAACAATAAAATGCAGGAGGTACCCTTTTTGAGGCCTATCAAATGGATGCACTTGCATTCCAGAGTTCATGTTAAATCCCGTATTCGGATACACTACCTTTTGTTTCAAACGCCTGACGCGTTATTAACCTTGGTACTGAGTCAGGATAGTCACTCACTTGTGCAGAGAGCATGAACTTTTATTTAATTTGTGATGGCATGGATTATTAACTCGTTGATAGTCAATAAAAATACCAACGATGCTGTTGTAACGCGTTGTTCAGATTTGACGGTAGCAGCGTATTATCGATCGGATCAATGTCACGTAAAACGCGTAATGAACGGCCTAGAGTCCCGATTGGTCCCGCTTCCCTGTCTAGCCCATCCAGTTGAGTCCAGAACGCAAGTCCTAGCCTCTGAGATATGAATCATTATATTTCAGACATACTCTATTTACATACCAATTAACCAGACCACATTGTACCATAAAATAGAAAACATTTGTACAGTATTTTACAAGTGAAATAAATATCGACCAATAGGGAGTGTATATTTAAAGTCCAAGGCCACCATTAGACTTAACATGATAATTATTGGTATTTGATTGAGATCTTGAACCAATTGATGTTAGACCATCACAATTGAAAACCTGGAAGCACTGGACGGCCGTTTCGTCCCATCGTGGGACTCCTCAGCAGTGTGCATCCACGATCTCGCGAGCGGGATTCGAGCCCAGGGCCTTCGGTCTCGCGCGCGAACGCTTAACCAACTGGACCACTGAGTCGGCATCCAATGGTGATAGTTTCTAACATCAACCAATCCACGACCAACTTCCATTGTACTTAAGTAGATAACTGTCTCTACCCGACAAGGATTAGCTCCACTGGTCACGCAATTTCGTGGATTGGTTGATGTTAGAAACTATCACCATTGGATGCCGACTCAGTGGTCCAGTTGGTTAAGCGTTCGCGCGCGAGACCGAAGGCCCTGGGTTCGAATCCCGCTCGCGAGATCGTGGATGCGCACTGCTGAGGAGTCCCACGATGGAACGAAACGGCCGTTCAGTGCTTCCAGGTTTTCAATTGTGATGGTCTAACATCAATTGGTTCAAGATCTCAATCAAAAACTTAATAATCTCCACAACCCCTATACTAGTAATTATTGGTATATTTTTCTGCACATCCTAACAAATGCTAACTTTAAGATTAAACGATAAATATTTAGTCGCAAGTCCACCGACAACTGTTTCAGAATGAGAGTAAGATTAAATATTTATCACCGGTTTTCATTTATTGCACTATTTTGCAACTAGTCGACTTAGTAATCTTTTTTTACCTAATAATACATTTTACAATTAAGTAATTTAAATTTATTCCGTATGTATTTAACATTTTATAACCAATTTTAGATTCCTTTACTCAATCATCTAGCGTAAACTAAGTGGAAAAATATATTTATATATGAATATTATTGTGCTATGTTTAACATTTTATTAAAAATTAGTGTAGTGACTAAATAGTACGTGCTCAGACCTTTCATTTCGTAAATACAAAAGTCAACCAACATCTTTGCGAAATATTTTACCATATTTGATAAAACTACAGTAGAACCAAATTAGAAAGTTAGTACATAGCTGAGTGATGGTTAACTCAATCAGTTAATGGTATCGATCGTGAACTTTCGATACGGTTGACTTCATATAGCAGCTTTCGTAGAATTTCGTTTTCCCATTTTTTATGGAACGATATGTCTTCCTAACTTAGTTTCTACTTACCTACGTCTAGAAATACCATTCCTTGTTGGTTAATGAACAATGAATCCAAGACATTTCTGTCGATAAAATCATATATCACTAATAATAAATAATTTGGTGCATTTATAGCCTTAGCGAGCAGTAATAAATTTTATCGTGACTTGGACATGAAAATGATGGAACGCTTCGTTTTTACTTAGATAATTGAGGCAAATTAGTCTTCTTATATACACATACGGAAACTCATTTGTCAACAATACAACATACCCCTCATATGATGAAATAGATTGTATATTTTCTTCAACTTCATTGAATTTAGAACTGCATATTTGCATTAGATTGATCTGGATTCATCAAAACGTTTGCAAAATTTAACCTACATTTTCTTCAATATCATTTATTTTTGCACGAAGTTCGGAAAGTTCAGATTTTGCCTGTAGTATGCTGGTCTTTAAAGAAACCCCGACTTACCACAAATAATTCGTGTGACTTTTTAGTTACCTGTTCTTGATTTCTACTTAACACGTTCTATAAGAGATTAAGTTCTAATATTGTTGAAGGCGACAAACCTCATAATCATGAATTATATGAAATAGCTCTTTGATATGTTCATCTCTTTCTGCTAGTTGCTTCTCCAGCTTAAATAGCTGCAAGTGTAAACATACAAACCACTATTTAGTGTAGCTAGATAAAAAAATCTGCTTTACGGAGCAGAAGAAAAACTACTTATTGCCTATTTCAGACGTTGGCTTGTCACTATTTGTGGCGTCAAATCGTATATATGACTTAAAGTCTTAAGTCCTGCATATGACAGGTAATTGTAACGTTATTAGCCTAAATCTAATAACGGATAGAGGTAACATATATTAAAATAGAACGTTATTTTGTAAATATAAAACAACAAACAAAAATATTCATCATTATGCGGAAAAATCAGTACAGAATTGTGTACTTCACAGCAACTATTATTCTGTTTAAGAGCGTCTACCATTCTAGTGACTGTAACATGGTTTATAAGATTATAAAAAATCAGATTTTAAAACATCAAGCGGTTCTGGTAAAACGAACCCTTTTAAAAGTTATCCCATACTTGAAACTTTTCAATAATCATAAACGCTGTGAAAACCTGGCGTAAATGTCCAAGTTTCGCCATTGTATCAGCACAGCAAGATGAACTTATCGTAATGAATACAATTATGGTAAGAGTAATAACAATTTGGAAACTCAAGATTTAGAGTTAGACAAGTAAATGCGTCTACACCATCAAAACCAATTCTGAGACATGTCTAGAATCTGCAACTATAGGCCGAAAGTACACAAACCGAACATTGTGCTACGTTCAATTGTGTCACTCTCCACAACCCCATGACACAAGTTATTAACAGAAATTTCAAGAACATTGAAACATTTGGTGGATTTATTTGATCACTTCATTAATTCTACCTCATAATTATTGAATAAGATTACGGATATTTAAACCAACAACGGCGAACTAATAATATCTTTCGACATTAGACCCTTACTCACCTCAAGCGAAATAAACTTAGCAAAGAAAACTTTATCCTCACATCTAATCAATGATGCGAATCCCCCAAAGTGTACGGAGCTACAAAGTCAAAATCTAACAGAACTTGTGGATTTAACAACATATTTTATATTCAACAACAAGATTTGTGAACTGCATCGGATAAAGTGAATGCCCCATTATCTTCAGCTCCAGGAACGATAGCTAGTTGTCATACGCCATGATATATCTTCGCCCACATCAATCCATGTGGACAATTGTAAGCACATATTCGACTAGAAAAATGTTAAGATCTTGAATGAAAAGAATACTAAGAACGCCAGAGGACTTTTAGAAACTTGGGACTCAAGTAAATCAGCAATAAACATGCACATCAAAACCGATCCAATTTTTCAGCCAATTGAAAAAGTCCTGAACGAATACAGAATCAAGAGTCAAATATAAGAGAGAGAAAATCAAAATAAAATTGACGACAATGACAGGCTAAAGGTCAACAACAACCAATCAAGATCGGGGTCGACAGGACAAGTTGTTTGTCATTTGTGAAGAAACTGAAATATTCTACTTCTGCTTGAAGTATGTGCTGTTCATGTCGTTCAGAAGAATGATGAAAACTCCACAGTTAGAACATTAACTTAAAGAATATGACTCCACCAAAAACTCCAGATTGCTTCCGACCTATTTCTACGCAAGAAAATATTGGGGATGGAAGAGTAGTAAGGCATACCTAATATATGCTTAATCTACATCAGTAGATTATTACTCAAAATACTATCAACTGACTTCCTATCTTTTTCTAGTACCCCGCATTTAGCCACAACAGTACTATTTATTATTTATTTTATTTAGACACATGAACGTTGGTAAGGGAAGGCACTAAAAAGATATACACTGCGAAAAACACCCGATTTGTGTGAGGTCTGGGATACTGTTCGGATTCCCAAGCCAAAGCAGGTGATGTCCTAAGGGGGCCACACGTGGAGCCTTTGATTTGAACATCTAATCCACAATGCAGTGGAGCAACGTCGGGAGACACGGTTCCATGGTAGACAATGACCAACGATTGGTTCATACGCCATTCGTTCCCTCAGGATTGTGGAGCCCATGTGCACCATTGGTTCGGAATCAGGATTTTTCATCTCCGCTAGATGGACTTTCCGTGTCTACCGACCCGGTTAAAGAGCCCGACGTTCGTCTATTGTCCTCTCGATCTCGTAAACAACAGTAATGCCGCGAGAAGGCAGTGAGTAGGACTTCACTGTCAGTTGTTTTATGCACGTGACCATGTGAGAGAATTTCGAGAGGGAGATCGGACTCTCCCCACTTTCGGCCGTACGAGGGCATTTGGGGACCGCAACAGTAAAGATATCAGTATCTTTATCTCATTATGTATTCTAGTACTACTTTGGATTTAAGTAGAATCTGCCCCGAAGTTTTTCGTGATTAGATTTAATTGAGTGTCAAAAAAGTCTCAAGTACAAGTAAAATGGTAACTTCACTAAATATAAAGAAGCCGTTTTCATATTTTATTAAACGTTGTAGAGGATTCAATGTTCATCGTTTCCTATAGATGAATTTGTTCCAGTGACGTTTCGGCCTTGGATTATAATGTTGTACCACCGAGTCAGGACCTCCTCAAAAACTGCTACCTAAATAACAGTCTCTCAGACTCACATGATGAGGTACAACTTGAAGAATACTTGTCAAATAATGTCAAGTAAATGATTAGATGACATCCATGTATTAAATAGGTCTCCTACAACCTCCAACTTACTACATGCATGAAAGAAAATTGTACACTCTTCGATAGTTTACAAGTATCTATCGGTGAACATATGCCCAGCCTTTTATTCATTTCAAATTTAACTTATGCTTTGTAACACCTGCTAACTAGATTTCGAGAGACAATTTTAAATTACTCTTGGGAAACTACCAAGAGTAAGTTGACATATGATAAATAAAAAGAGGGAATTTTTGAAGCAATCGCTTTGTTTTTCCGGTTGATTGACGCGTGATTAACACCAGAATATCATGTCTCCTATGTATTACTTTTCATCAACTGAAGCCTTTTAAATATTTACACCCCGGCTTTTTTCATGATTTTGAAAGTTTATTTTGGTGAAAATGAAAATAACCAAATTAGAATGCCATGTTTTAACTAGTCCAGTGGTCAAGCATTATAACACGATAAAAGTAAGCAAAAATAACCTTGTTACTTAACATAGCTTCTTTATCTTCGAATACCACTGCTTTAGATTCTAACTCTACATTGCGACACTTTTGTTCCTCTAGTGACCTTTCCAAGGTATATTTATATGTCATTTCCTTGTCCAGACGATCCAACAGCTCATCTCTTTCCGCCGCAATTTCTGAAAGGCTGAAAAGAAATAACAGTGAATTCTATTAAAAATTAAGCAATAAACCGTTATATTTTAAACGCTAATAAAACTAAGAAAGATATAGGCATTGTGCTGTTGATTAACAGAAAAAAATCGTTAAGAGATGGTACAAAAATAATGGTTCTAGAATTTTAGTTGTAGGCCTAGATGGTGGCCGAAAATGTTAACAGAAAAATCCATAGTGTGAAAAACGAACTCACAAACAAAGGTCAGAAGCTTGAAGCGCTTGGATTTCAATAGATTTTGAAGCAAAACGTTTTAGTGAATAAGCTTGACAAATTAAGAAACAGGAGAGTTATTTGAGAATCATAGAGCTGCAATAAAAGCATATTTAACCTTACATAATGATATAAGGTAAGTAAGGATGAAATTACGAGGTAGATTTATGGTAAGATTATTTAAAAACTCCATGCAATCGTGTTTTTTTAATGGATTAAGTAAGTTAATCGAGACAAGCTACTTGATTGTGATGTTGGTTTGTGGTTGAAAATAGAGTCTAGAGTTGTTTTTTCCTGTATAGAACTTTTCATCCGGACACTCCTGGATTCCAGTATTGATCTTCATTTGGAAACTTAAATTGAATATCTAAATTTGTAAGATGATGCTATTCATAAAATGCAGTAACTGCTACAGTTTTTAACTTCCTTTGAATAAACTGTCTCGAATTCTCAACTAGGATTCAGCTCTTTGATATAGTGGTTTATCATCTCAATAGAAAAATGAAAAGCTTTATTTCGTGTAACTAAGATTTAATTCAGAAACATACACATTTAAGTGATCCTAATGAGCTTGAGCTAACTAGTAACAACAAGATCAACAGATCAAAACGAATACATACTAAACAAAACTCTCTTTATCAGAGAATAGCCTAAAGTTATGAGGGATAGCATGGTTAGAAACAGTGGTCTACATGCTTCAAATAACAAAACCAAAACAGATGGTCTTAACAAAATTGGAAACAATAATCGAAGAAACAAAATAAAAGTCGTACAGTAAGTATTGTCAGCCATTAATAGTGCAGAAAATGGCGTCAAAGTTGCTGCCAACCATAATACAACCAATAACCGGTTGCATTTTTGATCGTAATAATCAAAACGGAGACGTATTAATAAGTGGAAGTTGATGGATGAATGAGCAGAAAGGCAATCAAGTATCGGCCGAAACGTTGAATGGTAACTAGTTTTTAACATAGGCTTAGGCAAATGGTAAATAAATACGCTGAATCTTTCTGCCTATCCATCGCGTACGTATTAAAATTTCTACGGCCTTTCGCTGGAAGTAAGAAGATAATACACTGCAACCAATAAACGAACATTATATGTATATTTATACATACACTTAAACGCATACCTATTTCTGGATACATAGGCAACTGTGAGGAGTACAACTATACCAGTGACAACAAATTACCTGACGTTTTGACCGAAACTAACACTTCATCCTTCTATACAATTAAAAGAAAATAGGTATCAATAAAGCCTCATGAACGCCAATATTCTGTACCATTAATCACTAAACTTTGATTTTTACGTCTGCCAATATTCAAAATAAAATAGTACAAGTGCATCAGATGCCTGGAAACTCAAGGTATACTCAAGGAAACTCAAGGATCTGTCGAGCACTCTCACGACCTTAAATACAAAACAAAACGAGAACTGCAAACGAATAATACAGGAGTGATGAAAGGAAGACTATGCATAAATATCGAAAATGAAAAAGTGGATATGAGAATATACAATTTTTATATTTATAATTATGATCACATTATTCACTTATATAAGTGATTTATTTTGCTGATGTATGTGCTAAAATGCTATACCTGTTGAGCTTCTGACTCAAAAGATCTTCCTTTGTTGAGTGTTCTGCGATAGCATCCTCGGCCGACTGTAAATGACAATACAACTTTGCGATTTCTTCTATTAATAATTCTTTTTCATGTTTCAACCGATCACATCTCTCCAAACTGGAACTAATATTTTATGAGTAACTAAATATCGGTAGCTGACTACACCAGTGAGGAAGCTCATCGTAATTTGCGTTTGTGTACATGTTGTAAATAAATAATAGTGCGCAGAAACGCATACAGAAATTTCGAAAACCCTGTATTTAGTCTAATAAAACATATTACGAAACGTTGCATGTCTGAGTCGGTAAGCTTTTTCATACATAAAATCATGGGTGAATTTTCTTCGTTGTGTATTATAATATTCACGGTTCTGGGCTTACAGATGACGGTTGTGGGAGCGCTTTAAATAATCCAACCTAAACAATCGTTACAGGAATACTGTGTTACTGAAAGTACTAAATTAGAATTGAGTGAAGATGCCACAGGTATTCAGAGTTTGACAACGCTTTAACCAGTAACACCTAATATGAATCGTACCCACCAAGTGAAATCAAATGTTAGAAGTGAGGAGATTCAAAGATATATTTGATAGGCTATCAATATATCGAGGATCGTCTGGTCTAATCTGGTTAGCGATGGCAAGGCATGTTGAGCACGGTGTTCCCACTCGTGATCTGATGCGAATGCATGACCGAGCGCCTTAAGGCTGCACCTCAGGGATATCATTCACTGCTGGATGTTGCGAGCACTTGAAGGTCAAACTGTCGCAGGATGATTGGTGCGTCACATCGACAATTCGTGAAGTCTTACAGAAGCAGCCAAATCAATATATTTTTAGATTTGAATTGAGTTCAGCCATACCATATCTGATAACGTTCATTCTTCAAGTAACGAAGACGATGCCATGATATAGGACGAATATTTAATGACATTATGTCATCTCAAAGATTTACAAGTTGGGACAATTTTGAGGCCTATTTGAAAGAAGTACATACGGTAATATGACTTCTGTGGTTGACAATTATTTTTGTCATATACACATATTAAGTACGTTATGTCAATATGTAGAAAGAACGGTGATGACCCAAATCTAGAGTATTTTTGCGTGAGATATGTCTGTACAAATGGACGTCAACGCAGTTCGTCAGAGTCAGATGCTTGTGTTCAGGATATAGATGATGATAGCGATCATCATTCTTCCGAAGAGCATACAACTCCTAACTCGCCACCACAACCTAGACAAAGAAGACGACGTCTATCATCTACGTATGCTTTACTTCAAATGAATTAATCCTTTCGGTCGAAATATTTCCATTGTCAATCTGACTTTTGAGTCCGTGCAGTAAATGGTGAGCTGAAACCCACCTCTGTTAAGACCGTGCACAACCTTCCTTGCACTGAAGAATATATTTCTGTAGATCCATCGAGACGATAGTTGACGTCAAGTGAACGCTTATATTTAAGAACGTTTCTATTGAGTAGTACGCCAGCTCGTAGCTAACGGCATATGGTTTCTTGGAAGTTCCATAAACAGCTTACCAAGGACGATATCGCAAAAATGCGTTCACAGTTGTACCCAGGTAGTATGTATTGACTCGACCTATCAGACCAACAAAGTTGGGTAAGTAATGATTAGTAATAAATTTATCTTAAAGTTTTCCACTGTTCCAGCTGGTGGTGACCGATAGTCTTGTACAAGAGCACACTGTCATGTATGCTCTTCCCAGGCAAGAACGACGCGATATCTAAAAAAATTGGAATGCCTTAAAGACATAACGTGCGGTACTTATGATACACACACTTTCGTTATGGATTCGGCAACGACCGAAATTTCTGCAATGAAGTCTACACACAGCCATTCTAACATAATACTTTGTTTATTCCATGTCTTAGGAGCATTTGTCAGGAAGGTATTTGCTAGCTGTACAAATTATTTTCTTTAGTTCCGAAATCCTGATGTACGCAAATGCTCAGAACACCTTGTGAAGACTAGACAGTCTGATATGTGAGCTTCGCTTTTCATAACGCACTATGTTCAGATATACTCAGAAGTACGAACATCTAAGAACACATTTCCCATGGGCGTATGGTTAAATAAAAGATTAATGAATTACAGAGGAAGTCAATGTGGGCTCGATGTTACCGGCGACATGTATTAAGCCTAGGCAACCACACAAACAACCATGTCGAAAGTGCTCATAAACACCTAAAAGAATGTCTCAGAAGAGGTGATTCTCTGCTATTGACGTTCTGGAAAATCTGGAGTAAAACAGACACTGACGTACGTTTGCGTCCATATGACGCTGTAAAGGATCTTCCACGTCTTCCAATTCTTCAGGTAAGAAACATAGGTAAATGTATCATTAATTCCGGGTTCCAATGTCATTTCGAACTCTTTTAAATGAGTTCACATCTTCTGCAGTTAAAATCGTACCTGCAAATTATGAACGTGTTCGGACAATAAAACGCGAATTTATAGGAGGATAATTCATCCGGTGCTACGACAGGGGTATGATGTATGCTGCTGATACATCACGTGCGCGATGTGCTTGTGAGCGTTTCAATGACTACATGATGCCCTGTGGGCATATTCTGTATGCACATTCTAAAGATTTGATTCGTGGGGGTAAGTGTGTGTGGCTTTGTCTCCATGAGCTTGTAACAGCTCAGGTTGGTTGGTTAAGAGTTGACCCCAAACAACTAAGCTTATGCCAAAACAGTATTGTTCAAGTATTCATTCACTTCCTTATTTTTCATAAGCGTTATATTCCCTATTATCTTGAATGTTGAGAGCCTTTGTTTGTCTGAACAGATAATCCCACGCTCCACTGTGACTGCGCGAAGATCGAAATAAAGACCTATTCACTACTTCTCTGGTTTCTTCTATCAATAGCACGAGGGTTACCTTAAGGCACGAAACTGGTGAGCCCTTTTTGAACACAAATTTTACCTCACTTCTGTTATTAACATTTTTTTTGCTTAATCGTAAAAGTAGACCTGATTATCCGTAAACTAATTTGAGTATATAACTAGTTTATTCCGTATTATCTTAAGTCATTCGTGTTATAGTAACCACTTTTTGTGCTAACTTTATTGCTATATTTGTCACATACCTCATGTCAGACTCAATAGAAACCCATAATCTGGAGGATTTCTCACCAGTGGAGATAGACACTGTTATGACTATGAAATCCTGACTTCCAGAATTTGATCGTAGTGATCCTGAGTTGTGGTTTGCTCAACTAGAGCATTATTTCACGAGACACAATATCAAATCTGAAGGGATTCGCTATAGAGACTTGTGTTCTATCCTTCCTCCTTCAGTCGCCAAAGAAGTCCGTGACTTGATTTTAAGTCCACCATCACCACAACCATACACCATCTTAAGACGAGAGATAATGAACCGTTTATCATTATCAGATGGTCAAAGAATCCAAAGACTTTTTCAAGGTGAAACACTAGGTGATCGGTCGCCGTCACAGCTTTTACGTCACCTCCAAGTCTTAGTGGGTGATTACACAGTGGGTGAAGCAGTCCTAAAACAAGGATGGATACAAGCTCTCCCATGCTACGTCCAACACTGTTTGGGTGCACAGGATCCTGAAACCTCATTATCTCATTTAGCGCGTATAGCCGACAGAATAATGGAAAGAGGTCCTCCAACTGGATCAGGCACAATAAATCACACACAAAAAGTAGAATCAGCAAAAGACCCCGTAATAGAAGGACTCATTGCGAGTGTTAAGAGTCTCACTGAGGCTGTCACCAGAATGCAAATGGGTCATAGAAACAGGAGCAGGTCACCACAACGACCACGATCCAAGTCACAAAACAGGTCACAAATGTCCAGACAATCTGGGCAGTTTTGTTGGTACCACTGGAAGTTTGGTGTCAACTCAACCAAGTGCATGCAACCATGCGCCTGGCCTAAGCATAATTCTAAGACAGCGGGAAACGAGTAACCCCTCCCCAGGTCGCGACGACTGAGGAGGGGCGCCTAAACAGTCGCTTGTTTTATGTTAGAGACAGAAACTCGGGCTTGAATTTCTTGGTGGATACTGGCGCTGCTCTTAGCATCATCCCTCGAAATAAAACTGAGATTAGTCGAGAAACATCATCAATTACACTTCAAGCTGCAAATAAAACTAAAATTGCGACATTTGGGCAGAAAACTTTAACCCTAGATTTGGGGTTCAGGAGGCAATTCCCTTGGGTTTTCACGGTAGCCGACCTAGATCTTGCAATACTGGGGATGGACTTTCTAGAGAGATACGAATTTCTAGTTGACACCAAGAAACGGCGATTAACACTAAAAGAAACTTCGTATTACACAAAAGGCAAAGAAAGTCACATCAACTCTCTTAACTTGATTCAAACTCCCCCAGTAACAACAGCGAAACTCCAAGATATACTCGCGGAATTTCCAAGTTTAACAAAACTAAACCCACAGCCTTCTAAAGACAAACTAAAAGTGAGTCACACTATCAAAACCGAAGGTGCACCGGTGTTTGCAAAACCCAGGAGACTAGCACCAGATAAGCTCAAAATCGCTAGGGCCGAGTTTGATTATATGCTACAATTGGGTATCATCCGTCCCTCTGATAGTCAATGGGCATCCCCTTTGCATATGGTCCCAAAGAAGAATGAAGGTGACTGGCGACCGTGCGGGGATTACAGAGCCCTAAACCGTCAAACCGTACCTGATAGGTACCCAATACCTCATATCCAAGATTTCACCAACGGTTTACATGGTATGAACATATTCACTAAAATTGACTTAGTCAGGGCATATCACAATATCCCGGTGGCTGATGAAGATATTCCCAAGACAGCTATTACTACACCCTTTGGCTTATTCGAGTTTGTACGCATGCCATTCGGCCTGAGAAATGCGGCACAGACATTTCAAAGATTCATAGATAACCTACTTCGAGATATGCCATTTGCGCAGGGGTATATAGACGACTTGTTAATTGCCAGCCCCGATTTGCAATCACACGAACAGCATGTACAAGCAGTGTTGAAAAGATCGGATGAACATGGAATAAACATACATCAAAGTAAGTGTGTTTTCGGTGTTCAAACTTTAGAATTTCTCGGTCACACAATAAGCCCAGAAGGGATTAAACCTATAAAAAAAGAAGTGGATACTATCAAACAATACCCCGTACCTAGTTCTCTAACACAACTGAGAAGTTTTCTA